TTATCATGACTGCTTCCATTCTAGGTGGTGTGGCCATTCCGCTTGTTTTTTGGGGAATTGGTGCTGCAATTGCTGCCATTACCGGTGTAGCTGCTATTACTAGCATCACCTTAGCTGCTGGTGGTTTAATTATGGCTGGGTTTGCACTTGGATATATGATAATTCAAGTTACCATTTCAACTGTCAATAAGGAGAAAAGAAACCAGAACGGCTTAATTAAGAACCGAAAGAACATTGCCTGTGTTGCCATTATTGTGGTTTCTGTAATTGCTCTTCTTATTTGGGCTATCTTATTGGCTCGAGTTGTTGGTCTTAGCTTAGATATGACTAGAACAATTATACCCCCAACTGATGAACAGTGGAAAACTATTACAACTAACTACGCCCAAGCCAAGGCCGCTCGAGAAAACGAACTCCAAACCGCATACAACACTAGCAAAACTGCTGCCGAGACTAAGATCGCCGACACTAACAAACTACTTAGCGAGAAACATGACTTGCTAGCCAAAACCCAGACCGAACTATCCAATGCTGTTACAGATGAAGCCAAGGCAGCCCTTAATACGAAGATTGCCAACCTCAATGCTGAAATTACCAAGCACACTGATACTATTAACCAACAAAACGCTCTCATCAAATCCCTCGGGCCTGATTACCCCGCTACAATCAACAAGCTTTCTACTACTCTACGCAACGCTGATTCTGCCGTGGTCGATAAGACTAGCGCATGGACAGCCGCCACTGATGAGCTTAAAGCCGCTACTGACGCCACTCGGCCAGCACTTCAGAGCAAGGCTGATCAGCTGGAGAAAGCTCTTGACGAGTGCAAGAAACTTGCCGCAGAAGCCAAAGCCAATCATACTTCGGCTACCATAGCCTATGACAAGCTTGTTCATCACGATAGTCTTGCCCTGCAAAAGCGTGTCTCTGAGATTATCAATACAGACTACAACCTGTCAGAGAAGGGCACAAGATATCTCGTGTTCAACGGCCAGGAAATGAAAGTGGGAGACAAACTGTTAGTTTCCGCTCCTAATGCATCGCAGTCTGGTGCCCTTCCTCAATCTAATCCCACACCCAGCTTTATCTTAACAGAGAACGGCGAAAAAGTATATCGCCTTCCTACTGATGCTGATGATATAATCGATGCATAAGTGTTAAAGCTATGCTATTTGAATAAATCTTATAACGTCTTAAATGGTATTCTATAAATATAGTGCCTAATACGAAGCCCATCTTAACTAATACATACTTCATTAATGACATTCCTTGATACGAACACCGGTACCTTTTATTAGATAAATATGACGGTGTGAGAGAGAATGACGTCATATCGAATTGTAGATAGGCAAATTTCCTTTTGTTAAAACACCCGATTCTATTAAGTTAGTATTAGTATTAGTACTACTAAGCAGTGTGTACTAAGTAGTGAGTAGTTTACCAATGATTAGGCCGATCGTTGTGAGAAATAAGTAGTGGTCGTATGACGGCATTACAGTTTGCTTGCAGTACTAGTCATATAGATATCAGTAAAACATCTTTATTCTTTTTTTGGTGTTTGTTTTGAAATCTCTAAATTGTGAGATTAACTGTGATTTGGAATATTTTGGCATGATATACAAAAAGTCACTTTTGATCAATAAACTATTTTCATCTTCACAATATTCCTTTGTCAAAAAACTAAAACTATATGAAATATTACCCAAAAAGGAAATTTTGTCTCTATTTACATCCTTTTTTTCAAAAGTAATTATAATGCTTCAATCATCACCACAAAAAGATGAAAGTGCTCCACGGACAGGGAGTAATATTTCTATTACCACCCGTAGATCTAACCATTCGGGATCTGGTGGTGCCTCTCTTGATTCCAAAAACATGCTAAAGAATCTTATACTAGATAAGAAAGAAGAAAGACTTGTTTGTCTCTCAATGTGTGCCTGGACCAGCGCATTATTCCTGTTTATCTACGCTGCATTCACTGCCGGTAATGTGGTGCGAGATACAGTTCAACCATACGAAAGCATTGATGCTGCATGCGCTCATTCACACTTTATGTGGATGGTTGTTGTAGCTGCTATAGTTTACGCAATTGGATTGGCCTATCTACTCTACCGTGCTAAACAACAGGCTCTAAATAAGCTTGATAAAAAGCAACAAGGTCTAGCCATTGGCGTTCTTGCGGTTGGAGCTATTCTTGGAGGTTCTGCTGCCCTTTTAGTTGTTTGGGGGCTCTTTGCAGCTCTTGCTGCTATTTTCGGCATAGCTTCTATCACCAGTGTTGGTCTTACTGCTTTCGGCTTCATCATGGCCGCATTTGCGCTTTGGTTTATGACTGTCCCTATTATCAGATCTAGTATGAAAAGGGATGAGAATACTGGTAAAAGCTCCTGGTCTAAAAACTGGCCTAGTCTTTTATGTGTTGCCTTACTTATTCTTGCCATGATTGGTCTTCTTGTCTGGGCCATTATAATAGCCAATCGTGTTAATCTTAACTTAGATCTAACCAGAACGATTCTTCCACCAACCAAGGAGCAATACGACCTTGCTCAGAGCGATTTCAATCTTGCCAAGGAAGCCCAAGCAAAGAAGATCCAAGAGACTTACGACACCACTAAAACAAGCGCCGAGGAACAGGTTAAAGGTATTAATGCGCGGCTGGAGGAACAAAAAGAGCAGCTAGCTGCAGCCGAACGTGACCTCCCCAATGCGTCTACTGAGAAGCTTCAAGAAGTCATCAATAAGGAGATAACCCGCCTCAAGGATGAGATCGAACGTAATACTGCCAGTTTGAAAGAACAAAATGCTATCCTGGCGAAACTCGGGCCTAACTACCCCACTGAAATTAGTACAACCACCAAAGAACTAGAGACCGCTAAGGCTGCTTGGGATCAAGAGTTTCAAAAGCTGACTCGTGCTGAAATCGGTCTTAAAGAAGCAACTAACGATGGCATGCGAAAAGCCGCCCAAGAAAAGGTAACTAATCTTGCGGGCATAGCTGCCGAAAAGAACCAGATTGTCACTGACATACAAGTTAAACTTGACTCTCTTCAAAAGGGTTATGACCACGTACTCTATCAAGGTGACATTGTACCGAAAAAGATTCTGGCTGATGCGACTCGAGAACACTTCTCGATATCCGAGAATGGTACTATGTCTCTAATACTTGATGGCAAAGCTGTTCGGGCTTATGAAAAGCTCCCAGTTCCAGTATCTACGGCTCTTCCGACCATAACTCTCCCTGTTGATATTACCAACCAAGAACCATTGCCCTTAACTCCAGAAAACCCATCCATAGTCCAATAGTATACTTTCAGCGAGTGTAATCCTTTCTCTTTCAACTCAGACCAACATAACTGAGAGCTTATTCATCCGGCACAAAATATTATAGCGCCTATAGCTATCAAAACAGTCCCAAAAAGGCCTCAATAAATGAAAAGCCCATGTCACCTTTCACTAATACCAACTCGTACTACATATTGTTGAGTTTGGTTTAGGCTTAATTTGGGGGTTAGTATTGTGATTGGTATTGGCTTAGTATGGGCTTAAGCCGGAGTTCTAATCGTAATACTAATCACAATACTAATCACAAGACTAATCAAAATACTAACCACAAGACTAATTCATACGAACACTAGCTAATTAACCCCTTTTATTATTCATTTTGTATATCAGTGTTTCTATCAAGCTTTGCACGAAAAAATTACCATAAAAGGAAATTACCATAAAAGGCAAGCTACCATCATGTCGTAGACCCAAGTCCCCATTAAAACACACAGATATATCCCAAAACATACCCTAAATCCATTTACAACAAAGCAAACACTTAAGAAACAATAAAGACTAAAAAGATTACAACTACTAGCCCAATACTAACCCAAAATCAACAGATCAAATCTACACAGTTCTTATCAATGCTAATTTCTGACTATTTAAGCACCAAAGTCAAATTTTGACTCAATGACAAGCCAAGATCAAACTAACCGAAGAATACAAGATATAAATACTGGGTCTATTTGGACCGAAGAAGTAAGCACTCCCGGCCGATACACAACTCCCTACACAGGAGGAGTCCAACCCAAGCCAAATACTCTCAAACAAATGAAGAAAGAGTTTGTAGCAGCTGGCTGGATTCCATACGTCTTGGTACTTGTTTGGTTATTCGGATTTGCTGGTGTTCTTACTCAACTATACAAGCACATTCCACTACTAGGCGAGAACCCATCCCCAGAGGCTTTAGCAAATGCAGCTCCATATACCTTTACTATCCTCTGCTTCTCATTGGCAGCACTCACCTCAATATTCTTTACGTATCTAATGATAAGCAAAGGAAACAAAGGACATTCATTTGCCTATCGTTTTGTTAAGTTTATTATTATTATTGGTACTGGCGAACTATTAAGCCATCTTGTTTCTTATCTCTATTTCTTCTTTATCCAGTATGTTATTGGAGGTGTTCTTGGCCCAGGCCCTATCATTCGGCTTTTAATGCCACTCTTCCTATGCCACACCGCCCATACAATCAACCTCATCTACTTCTTGAACAATGTCCAAACTAAAGGCATACATCGTTGTAAATGGCAGGCAACTCTAATTCTTATTTCAACTACTGGCTTATACACAAGTACGGGCCTAGCTATACTTCAACACTAACAATAAACAACTTATTTCAAGCAAATACTATCTTTAAACCCTCATAATAACCTACACAATATCAGTATCTAATACAATACTACCCCAAGTACTATCTTAATACTATCTTAATACTATTCCAAGTACTATCTTAATACTATCTTAATACTATTCCAATTGTAGTCTGCCATCGGAATAGAGAATATACGCCATGGATAAGATCTTATCTAATACATCTGCCTCCCATTTGTATCTATTCAGATTTTGTAACAACCCCAGAATATCTTCAAAACTATCTCTGGCAATCTCCTTCCTAAAAAAGATAACCACCGAAGTGGCAAATGAAATGTTAAACCGTAAGAAACCCGGCACACCCAAGGAAAAGTGAGCATCCATTACCTTCTTATAATCAGCAAACTCCCGAAACATAAAAGTAGACATCCAATTATAAGCAAAGTACTTCACTTCAACTCCTTTACGCACTAAAACCTCTTTAACACGTTGAGCATACTTCTCTAGTAATTCGTCAATCTCTTCAATTGATCGTTCAATCCCTAGCTGTCCCGATCCAAAACAATCTAAAGCCTGTCCTACTATCCGGGCAAAACAAAAGTAAGCTAGCATTTCGGCATCTATGGCTGAGTATTCAGCCGCATGTACCTCATAAAACACTTTAAATATCTCACCCATTCCTTGAACATACCCAATAACTGGATGCTTACGTGAAAAGATCCGCATAGCTCGCAAACACCGTTCTCGCAAGGTTTCTCCTAAGACCGACTCCATTCGCACCATATCTTTCTCTATCTGTTTGACTATCTTTTGTGGCAGTAAAGAAGGCGATAGAATATCAGGCGATACACTTGGTTTATCTAATCCCTGTACTAGTCCATTATAAATCACTCGTCTACTTTTCATCTGTTCCTCCCAATTATCTCTATCTGCTCCTAAGACATCCAATAGAATCAGCCAAGATGCACTTCTTTCACCAGCCCCCAAGCCAAACCAAGCAGCCTCCCGTAATTCTCTAATGTTTTGTACACCACCAACCCGCTTATCTCGTTCCATTATTACGCCCCATAAAATATTAAAGCGTCAATAAAGCCTTCATTTTCTATCTCAGTCCTTCTTTGTTTAACATTTAGGAAATGAATTACATAGCTTTAACTATTCACCACAGATAACACAAATAAGTATAAGACATTCGATTGGGTTATAAGTATTATTGGCAATTCAATTCAATCTTATCACAACTCAACTTAATCTTATCATATCACAATCACAATTCAAGCATAACTCAACTTAATCTTATCTTATCATAATACAATACAATACAACTTGATCTTATCTTATCATATCACAATTCAATCATAACTCAACTCAATCACAACCCAATCTTAATCTTATCATAACCCAATCATAATACCAACTCAATGCAAGTATGCTTTTATTGTATCTGTCTAAGTGGTCCACGGAAGTGCTTAAATATATCTAAATCCATTTCCTGACGACCACTTAAGACGGGTGGTGTAATCGCAGTCAACACACTTTCTATTCGGTACTTGTACCCCAATGCCCGGTCCAGTAAAGCCCTAAACCGTCTATCACCAGGCGAATCACCTTCCTCCTCACCTACTTGTAATACAACTACACTACCCATATCTACTTCTCCCGTAAAGTCCACTACTAAGTTGTACCTTAGTGCTCTTAAACTCCCCGGTCCAAATACGCCCACTACTCCATCCATAACTCTTTCCGGATGTACAGCCACTCCCACTCCAAAAGCTCCTAAAAATGCACCTACTCTTCTAATTTCCCGATCATTCTCTACTACTACAGCCAGTCCTCGCATTGGCTTCATCTTAGTCAAGGCAAATAAAACCCCCATTCTCTCCACCAAGGTCTTCCCTCTTACTTTAAACACTCCAGATTTACTTGCTCCTTCTAAGACCTTCCAATTCTCCACCTCTTCCCTCTCCGCGCCAACTGCAACCACAACCGGGACTTTTTCCTTCTCCACTACCCCCAAGACTTCTTCTGCCCAGCCTAAATCAGCCACCGTCTCAAACCCATCAATTATAACTACTTGCCATTTCCGACCCGTTCTAATACTCTGTAACCCTTCCTTCATCCGCATAACACTCACCCCTTCCGATCCAACTATACTTTCCAATCTATCCCGTTCTTCTTTCAATGACGTCATCACTAGTACTTCTTTTAAATTACTCACCCCAACCCCATTCCCATCTAAATTCTCATCTAAACCCCCAGCCAAACCTTTATCTAAACCCTTATCTAAACCCATAAGTAAATCTTTAAGTAAATATCTAATTATACCTTCAACAGAAACTTCAGTACGATAACGACTTGATACGATATCCATTAAAACTCTGCCATAATCTCCTATTAATATTTACATTTAATTAAGCAAAATGCACGACGGGAGATTTAGCCAAGATGATACTAAAGATAGCGTTGAAAATGAGTCCTATATTAATACCACAGTACTTAATGCCCTTATCTATGAATACCTGGTCAAGAAAAGATATGCTGGGACTGCAAAAGTATTTAGAGTTGAAGGTGATGTAACTCAGATTAATATTACACAAGGATCTTCAGCCCTTTTAGATTGGTTTATGGCCTTTAATGATTTGTATAATGTACGTTCTGGTCGGGCAGCACCTACTGGTCTAACTGGGAAGATAGATGCAGTACTTGGCAAGACTGGATTAAGAGATAGTGATGGTAGTAGTAGTAGATTGAGAGATGGAATGAGAGATAGTGAGGCTGGCAGTACTAGCAGTGCAGGAGGAAGAATGAGGGATAGTGATGGTAGTAGTAGTAGTAGATTAAGAGATGGACTGAGAGATAGTGAGACTGGCAGAAGAAGTGGAGGTAATAGTAGTAGTGGAGGTAATAGTAGTGGTGGAGGAGGTTTAGGGAGTAAGAAAGGAGGAAGGGAAGGTGATTTACTTAATACTATTTTAGAGATAGACGAACCAGTGAGTCAGCCCCGGAAGACTCCTAGTGTACAATTACCGGCTAAGGAAGTATCTAGACTGGCTTTACACCAGCAGAAGATTACTAGTATGGCTATTTGTCAACGGCGGAAGATTTTAGTAGTTGGTAGTGCTAATGCTTCTATCTGTGTAGTTGATTTGACTAATTTAAGTGATGTAGCTCGGTTTGAGCCCCATACGATGGCTATTTCGCAAGTACGAATTAAGGAGGGTAAAGAAGAAGGACTTATTTTTGGTTCAGCATCATTAGATAGGGAAGCTAAAGTTTATAGGGCAATTAGAGGTCCAGAAAAGATAGAGGTTTCTTTATTGTTATCATTACGTGGGCATAGGTCATCAGTAAAGGCCGTTGATTTTAGTGAGAGTAAAGTGTATACTATAGGAATAGATGGAGAATTAAGGATGTGGAGTATGGAGGGAGAATGTGTAGCTTCTTTTGCTTTACGTAAAACTATCAAATCAATGTTTGTTAAATCTGATGCGGCGGTTGTTATTTGTGATATGACTGGAGTAGTTTTATTCAATCCGGAATCAATGGCAACTCCACGTGATATTGCTGATCGAGCAGCTGTAGCTTCCTGTCGTACGCCTAGTGGTTCAGTCGTAGTAGTTACAGATGCCGTTCTGATCTTTAGTCCAGATTTCCGGGATGTCCGTAGTTTACCTTTACCAGCCGAACATATTCAATCGGTCTGTCTAGTAGGCGATCGACTCTTCCTAGGGGGATACCAAGCAGTCTATGAACTAACTGGCAAACGGGTAAGTCTCTTCCCAGCGCATAAAGTTTCCGTCAGTGCTATCGAAGGCACAATTGTGAATAACAAAACACTTCTCCTATCTGGTTCACAAGATGGAGAAGTTAAAATCTGGGAGGTAGCCGAAAAGCAAATCTAATCAACATTTAGGAACTGATTAGATTAAGTTAGTATAGGTTTTTGTAAGAACATTCTAAGGTTTTTGTAAATCAAAATAGATAAGACTTAGTTAAACTAAAATACCATATCTCATACTATATCTCATACCATATCAATATTTGTGAATTTTGAATTTACTCCAATTCCAACTCCAACTCCAATTCTAATTCTAATTCTAATTCTAAGTCTTATCTATCTCACCCCACTCACCCCTACTCCACTCCACACCACACCAACACCACTCAACACCAACCTAACCCAATATAAACTAAATCTTATCTTAACAAAAACAAAAACAAAAATCAAACCCAAACACCAACTCAACCCAATCAAATCAAATCCTAATCCAAAATCACTACTACTCCACTCAACCCCAACCCAACACCAACTCCAACTCAACCCCAACTCAATCTAATACATAAGTTATGCCTTTTATTTTTATTTTAACATGGAAAGAGAGGAGCATTTAGCACTAGAAGAAAGCGTTGATTTAAGCAAGCATCCTTCTGGCCTAATTCCTACCATTCAAAATATAGTAGCTACAGTTAATCTCTGCTGTCGCTTAGACTTAAAAGCTATAGCTTTAGGTGCTAGAAATGCCGAATATAATCCTAAACGGTTTGCAGCAGTTATTATAAGGATAAGAAAGCCCAGAACTACTGCTCTTATCTTTGCTTCGGGTAAAATGGTAGTAACTGGAGCTAAGTCTGAAGAAGACTCTAAAATGGCTGCTAAAAAGTACAGTATAATTATTAGAAGACTGGGGTATCCAGTTCGTTTTACTGAGTTTAAGATTCAAAATATAGTTAGTAGTTGTGATACGAGATTTAGTATTAGATTAGAAGGTTTAGTATTTGGACATAGTAATTATAGTAGTTATGAACCGGAGTTATTTCCTGGGTTGATTTATAGGATGGTTAAGCCTAAGATTGTTTTGTTAGTCTTTGTATCTGGTAAGGTTGTTTTGACTGGAGCTAAACATCGCGAGGAGATATACCAGGCCTTTGAGAATATTTATCCAGTGCTTAAACAGTACCGGAAGGCCTAGTGTATGTATAGTCGATCTATCTCAATAAAGATAAGAGTAAGTAGATTTTGATATGATTTAATAGTTAGTTAGAGTGGGGTTAGGTGGGGTTGAGTTGGGTTAGTTTAGGTATTGGTGTGGGGTGGGGTGGAGTTGGGTTAAGTTGTGCTAAGTTGCCAGTAGGTATTAAGTTGCCATTAGATTGAATAATTTGATATGGGGTTTAGATCAAAACAAAATAAAACAAAACTTAACTAGTGCTATCTATTTCTTGAAGAGGAAGGAGAGAGATCCTTTGGAATTGGGTTGAGTTGGGTTAGGATTGTTAGGTTGGGTGGTATTGTTGGATTGGGTGGAGTTGTTAGATTGGGAGGAGTTGTTAGATTGGGAGGAGTTGTTAGATTGGGAGGAGTTGGAGGGACGAAGAAGAGAGATAGTGTTATTGGGCTTGGAAAGAAGAGGATTAGCTAGAGAGTTAAGACCGAGTGGTTGGGGTGTAGTGGTGGTGTTGGGTTGAGTGGTGTTGGGTTGAGTGGAGAAAGGAAAGAAGAGTGGGGGTGGAGGTGGAGGTGGGAAGTTATAACCAAAGGGAATGGGGTTGGGTGGAGTAGATTTAGATAAAGTAGAATTAGGTGGAGTAGCGGATGAGCAAAAAGGATTGGAGTCAAATGTTGTATAAGAAGACTGGCCGGGTGGATTATTGGAAGAGGTGGGGGTAATATTAGGGAAGATCTTGCTGAATCGGCCCATGGCTGCGGCTAGGTGTGGAGGTGGGGTAGGTGGGGGTGGGATATCAAATAAGTTGGTATTACTAGAGGTTGAAGCAAATAATGGTCTGGTAGGAGGAGTAGGAGTAGGAGTAGTAGTAGTAATAGGAGTAGGAGTAGTAGTAGTAGTAGTAGTAGGAGTAGTAGTAGTAGTAGTAGTAGTAGCCATTAGTGGGTTAGGTTTAGCAAAGCTGGGAGTAGTTAACTTCGAGGTAGTAGTAGTTGGTGTAGTAGTAGTTAATGTAGGTCTGGTGAGAGGAGTAGTGGTAGTAGTGGTAGTAGTGGTAGTAGTAGTGGTAGTTGGGGGAGTAGGAGTAGGGGTGGGAATAGGAGCTGGTTTATGGGAGAGAAGGGTTTTGGTGGCTGAGTTTTGGAAGATATGATCGAGAATGGAATCAGTTGGGGTTGGGGAGATTTTGAGTTTGGCAAGACACTCTTCAAGGACTTGGATAGTATTTTGTCTCTTCTTGGTATGGTTGGAATCTAGAGTGATAGGAGTGAGTGAAGGGGGAGGAATATTGAGGGGAGTAGTGAAGACTTTTAGATCGTTGGGTGAGATAATATCGGAATGATGGTTTGATTGATTGGAAATTTTGAATGTTTTGGTGATTTTGGTATTGATGGCTTCGATTTCAGGCCATTTATTAGGAATGGGTTGGTTGAGACGTTGCGTAGCTAGATCTAGTTTTTCTCTGATTTGCTGGAGAATGATGTTTGTTTTGGTTTTAGTGGTGGCTTGATGTTCTTTGACTACTTCTTTAAGGGCGGTAAGTTCATCAGTAATGAGGATGGTTAGTTCATCAATACCGGAGAGACAATTGGTAGTTTGAGTGGGTTGGGGAGGAGTAGAGGAGGGAGTCTTGATTTTATGAAGATTAGTTTGGCAAGAAGTAGTGGTTGATCGTATTTCTTTAACTTGGTTGAGGAGTTGAGTGAACATTGGTTGGAAGAACTCATCTAATTCTTTGGTTTGATCTTCAAGTTTATCTACTCGGGTTGGTTGGGGTGAAGGAATGGGAATAGGGGCTGGAGTAGCTAGAGAGCGTGGGGTTAGATTAGGACTTGAACCGAACATAATAGGAGTGACAGGTGTATTAGGTGTAGTAGGAGTAGAGAGTGTAGAGAGTGTGGGAGTAGTAGATGTAGAGAGTGTGGGAGTAGTAGGTGTAGCAGAGAGTGTAGGAGTATCGGTACTATTAGATAGTTTAAGATTAGCTACTCCTTTAGTAAGTTGGCTTAAATCCTCGGAAGTATTGCCTTTAGTAAGTTGGCTTAAATCTTCTGAAGTACTGGATGAACTGAATAGAGGTGAAGATTCGAGGGAAGATGGACTGGATTGACTTACTGGGTGGTTAGATATGTTACTATCTAAATTGTTATTTTGACTTTGAGATAAAGATGGGGTTAGTATTGGGTTAGTTTCAACTGGATTAGTAGTAGTTAAGACGGGGGTAGTATTAGTAGTACTGGGAGTAGTAGAAGTGGAAGTGGAAGTAGAAATGGGACATGGCTGGGGTTGTTTACGGCGAGTATGAAGATACAACTCAGGTTTAGTCACTTCGGCCATAAGATAGTACAGTACGAGTTGACTAGTACTCTCAACAATAAAAGTAGGTCCTTGAATAATCTCTTGATCTTCATCATTCATATCTGGTAAAATACTAGCTTCAATCGTATGTAAACCAACTAGTTCTTCCTCCATAGGAACCTTTAAACACTTTAACTCATCTACTTCTGATAAAAGACGAGTACTGACGTCATCCTTAATTACATAAACAAAATCAGGCGATTTACTATGACCAATTACTAGTAAGTCTTTAATCGGTCCAATATTAGTGGCCCATCCAACTACATAATTACCACAATCAGGTTCATAAAGATCCATCAGAATATCTAATGAAACTTCTTCAATCTTACCTTCTTCACTCCTACTACTACTTATAATCAAGACTTTCTCATCAGCCGGCCAAAAGACAAGTACAATCAGTCCACGCAAGAATACTTCTCTACTTGACTTACTTAACTCTTTACGCCATAATGGCTTAGTAAATTCACCTAAACTATACAAACTCAACTCATTTCCTTGTTCTAGTAATAAACCTTGTTCAGAAAGAGTATACCGTTCAGCCTCTCCTCGCCATACTTCTAAATCACCTTCTACTTCTCTAACTACAACTTCACTACCTATTCTTACTACCCAGTACTTTCCTACAACTTGAACAGCCCCACTCTTATCCAGATCAGATAAGTTCTTAACTCTTCCCGTCCGTACAGGACCCAATGAATTACTTATCTTATACTCTACCAACTCATCTCCAACCTCTGTCCACTCCTTATCACTACTACTTTCAATAGTACTACTACTTTCAATAGTACTTTTGGTACTATTATCACTACTTTTAGTACTACTTGGGGAAATACCACTAAATACGGAACAAAGTCCTAAAGTACCACTATCTTCTTTAACTAGTAAACCTTCCTTAAACACTTTAATAACCGATCCGGACTTGGATTTCACCAATTTGTCTTTGATAAATGCTAACTTAGTAATACACATGTAAAATATAAAAATCGTTTAATCTATAAAGATACCCTGGGCTACTATCTGGCCGATATTTATCTTAGTTATGACGAAAGTCTGCCAGCCATGACGTGTTCGGCCATCTGCTGGGACCTTGACTGGTAAGATGCCATGAACTAAAAGTTCAACTTGATTATCATCAGTTGTAGTACCTTCTACTAGACCAGTACATGGTTGGTTTATAATTATACGCATGATTACGAACTCAACGGCTACTTTGTAATAAACAACTTCGCCTAAATTATCGATTGTACCGGCTTCTTGTAAAACTGAAATATCGCCATTATAACAAATAACTATGCCTCTAAGCATCTTAATATACCTTCCTAAGAAGAGATTCAAGAAAGAGTAAACGGATGCAGCAATATCACTCAAATGAATTGGTTTGATTGGAATTCTGATATGAGTTTCAATGCTCTGGAATACAATAGCCCCCATACTGCAAAATATTTGTTATGGTTAGAAATGAGACTGACGAGATTACGCTTATTGGCAGTGGAGGGACTGGAATTAGTGTGCCATACCGGATTATATGTGAGTGTGAAATCCTCAAGAAATTAGTTGATGAGAGTGCATTTTTAGAGTCTTTACATTCATCAGTGCATTTACCGATAGCGCAAAAGACTTTAATTCGGGTAGTAGAGTATCTTTGGTACAAGAGTAAGTACCATCAGAAAGAAGGGGAGGTAGAGGACTTTATAGTAGGTGAAGATGAAACTTTGGATTTATTGGAGGCGTCGGCATTCTTGCAGATCTAGAGGGACTAGATAGTAAATAAAGGCCGAAAGGCAGTGTATTAGATTAAGTTGGTTTTGTATGTGGTTGGTTAGGTGGGTTGGGGTGGGTTTTGTTGGGTTAGGTGGTGAGGTAGTGGGTGGGGTAGTAGTAAGTTAGCTTTTGGATTTCTTGTCCTTGCGCTTGGGTTTGGAAGACCGAGTGGATTGGGGACATTTGGCTTGGCGGTAGTACCTGATGTAAATGATGAGTTTGGGGAGAACGGCTATGATTAGTGAGGAGAGATTGATGACAAAAAGGAAGTTGTTAAATTTGGCGAGACGGGCTCCACATAGAAAGAGAACAATTGGGAAGACGGTAAAGAAAGTCATACCGGAAGAACCTTTGAGTTGGATCATAAGTTGTTCCCAGAAAGTAAATCCGGAATACTCTTGGTTGAATGGATCACCAAGAATAGCATGGAAGAACACAAACGTAACTATGTTGTAAAGCCAGATAGTAAGAGTCCAGGCGGTGGTTTTAGAGAAGATTTGGTAGAGAATGAACCAGACAGTCGCAGTAAGAAGAGTTTGGCCAAACCATGTGGAGGGTTCTAAAGACCACTCGACATTAGGTGAAATGAAAGCTTCACAAGTCATAATGGATGTAAACAAGAGTGTTTATTTGTTAGTGATGGCTGTTAGTTTGGATTAATTTGGTATTCGATTGAGTTGGTATTCGATTGAGGTGGTATTGAAATGGGATTGGGGTGGTATTATGTTAAGATTGGGGTGGTATTAGGATGAATTATTGAACTCACTTGATTGAACTCAACCCAACTACAAACTCAACACCAACTACAAACCAACTCAATCCAACTACAAACTCAATACGAACTCAACTTGGTTGTAACTTATTCAAACCACTGATCATTAGCTATCTGTAAAAGAGTAAACCAACCAACACCTAGAATAAGAGCAGTACACAGAATGTTCAGAACGATTTCTGATGTTTCTTCAATTCGGTTTTGAATATGCCGTAGGCGCTTAGGGAAGACAATAGTGCCTTGCTTAGTCTCTTTCAGGAAAACAACAAACCCATAGAAGAAACAAAGAGTAAAGGCGATAAAACCAGTAGATAAACATGCATCAATAAACGATTTCTGATTATGGATGAATAAACTAGCTTGACGTTCAACAAAGATACAAAGAGTCCCAGTAATAACTATGCAAATCTTCCACTTATACTGGTGCTTACGCACTACACTATTACTTACCTTATCTATTTTGTCGGTCATAAAGATGAAAACACTTGTACCAAGTATAGTCAAGTACACAAAAGCTACTCCAACATAGGAATGTACAGTTTTAGTGAGCCAAGGAATCAACTCCATCTCTGGAGTTTCCAAACGCGAACTCTTATCATGTAATAGTAAGTTAGAAATATGTCGGTCACCAAGAGCAACGTAGTACGCAATAATGGCCAAACCAGCCACCATTGCAGCAAAAGAAGCAGCATTCATAACTAAATGCGTTGGTGTAAAGATCTCTTTAAGCATAGTCTTACGGTACTTGCGTTTAAGCGATCGCAAACAAATCCACCAATAGATAAGGTTCTTGATAAACAGAATAGCAACTGCATAGTACATTGAGAAAAGTACAAAGGCCGTTCTATTATAGTAAATGTCAGTAGATATTAGTAAAGGTGTAATTCCTACTAAAGGTGCTATACAGGCAAAGTTAGTATAAGCACCTTCCTTATAAGCCAGAGCTTTCCAAAACTCAGTCGTGAAATAAAGACTAGAGACTTCTTTATACTCAGTAGAGGTCTTATCAATCAGAGGAAGTTCCTTAGGTTCGATACAATAAAGATTAGCACCAAGTTCTAACTTCTTCTTTGGTTCAATAGATGGTTCTATTTCCGGTTGAATATTCGAATTAGACATGTTTCTTTATTTATTTTCCAAAACTTCTATAAATGACTTATCTTAGTTTTGATGTTTATATAACATTAAACAAGTCAACTTAGTGAGTTAGGGCTTAAATATTATTAAACAGATTGGGTTGGTGTTTTGTTAGTATTGAGTGTGTTATGTTGAGGATGTATGGTTAGTTGAGGCTAATCTAATTTCTAACTCCATTTGGATGGTAGACGGGCTTAATGTTCTGCCCTATTTAAATACTTGACTTGCTTCTGTAGATAGATGTCTTCGTACTTCTTGTTCTTTGGAATTAATCTGACATTCCTCTCGCTTAGTGAAGTATTGGGTTAGTATTGAAACTCTTCTTTGTATTATTTCCTTTACGGTGATGGCTGTGAATACTTTAAGTGCACTCTTTAGTGCCTTTTCCTTTGATACTTCTATCTGTCACTCTTTCTCTTTTCTCACTTATTAGCTTGACGTCATCCAATAATTTGGATTGCATGGGTTTATGATGTAGATAGAGACGCGCTTTTTCTTTTCCTTCGAGTGCTTATTCGTGACTTCCATCTTTCTCTTGCTTATTAACGGACGGGCCTGCTCGGATTCTGAGTTTATTCCCTGAAGTTAGCCACTTTGCAATAGTCTTAAATGCAATACTAACCCAAATACTATGTTATACATAATCAATGGATTATAGTCTGTCAATTAGTAGTGCTCTACCAGAGATATTGTCGTAGCTGGATACTCTTCTTCTCTATTCATGCACATGATGCTTTTGGATTCGATAGTTAACTTCTAAGAAGTTCGAATTTTAGGCTAATCTCTAAACCTTCGCATATAGAACCTCAAGATACATCTCGCTTGCATCTATTTCGCAAGTTTCCCTCTATCTTTGTTTCCTCTCCGATCCTCTTCAATTCTGAGCTGTATTTATAATTTCGAATTGAGATATCAAATTCAAAGATTTTCTCATAAGATGTTTCAAAACTTTCGATAAGTAGTACAGTTCTTTGTCCTAGCAATTATCTCGTGTAAAAATAAAGGTCAATCATCTCATAATTAGTAGTAAAGAGTGTGGTGAACCTCTTCAACGCCATAATAACCAAGACAATTTAAGATATCTTATCTAAAATATAGCTTTTTATTCTGATCAGAATGTGGGTTAGGGTTGCTAGTTTAGCTAACGTAATGAGTCTTGAATAGAGTACATACACGCCAGGGACCCTGATGTGGTGGTGGGAGCAGTGAGTCAGTGTCTAGTGGCTCTCTACATTATTTGGTTCTGACTAGCCATATACAACCCTACTATCCCTTGTTCACTAATTTAATATCATAATTGGGCTATAAATGCGCACAAAGATAACAATTTATAAAATGAGTCGAGTGTTTAATGAATGCTGGTTGAATCTCTATCTAGTAGTTTGGTTAGTTGTTGGTTTATGCACTGTTTGGTGTGGTTTAGATGAGAGCCCGCCAGATAGAGGCTTGACTGATGCACTTAAAATGAGTTGGTGGGACTTTTCCTCCCAACTCAATGAAACTTCCTCCCAACCCAATGAAACACCTAATTCAACATCAACTGCTCATTTAGAAGGCCAAGCACACAGACCAGCACCAAGAATACCAGGACAAGCTAACATAAAGAGTAGTGGGTCAAGGACTGGTTATCGAGGGATGGCTCAACCAGCTCTACCACAAATTACAGAAGTTAATAATGCCAGTCTAGCCATTCAATCCTCCCTCGCGAGTAGCAGCACAGGTTTTGCTAATCTCGGCAACCCGCAACAAACTGATTGGAGTCATATTCTAAATAAAGAGGAGAGTGTGCTATTTTGGAAGTTTATAAAGATAGAAGAACATAAAGAAGGGTTATCAACCAACACTGCTAATGATCAGAGATGGTTTATACACCGAAAATCCCCTGATTCAGATAAGCATGAACTGTACTGTTGCCACCAGCAATGGGAGTGTAATTGCCATATAAATAAGGATTGGCGGAAGAATGATATAAATAAGTTACTGCGGGTTTTAGATAAGTTCAGTATGATTCAAATCAACGATTGGTCTATTACAATTAAGAATACCAACTATGCTGAGTGGCTTCTGATTATATCTAAATGCTTAACCATATTTGAACCCCTTATAGAATTTATCCATCCTGCGAATCAAACTGCTATAAGAATCAGTCTAGATACTCTCAGTGAAGGAACTAGTTCATACATACACCCGCTCGATATTAAAAAGTTACAACAGGTCTTCCAAGATCAAATCAAACAAATCTGTCGGGATAAGTGTAGCCTTTTCTTGACTCTCCAGCACCTCACTACACCCGTCCAACAGATTATTTGGCCACTAGTAGCTCATTTTAGACTAACACAGTTATGCCTACATGCCCCTTTAATGACCAAGATAAACTTCCTTAATGATATAACGTGGGAGTGTGGCTATAGTCTCACCATAGAGGTTCGGAACCTCAATACTACCATTGTCCTTCCCATAATTATTCAGTATCATACGCTCCGATCATCTGCGCACATTAAGGAAGACAAGAGCCGAGCGACCTGGGCGTCTATAGCTATCACTACTCTCTACCCCGAAGATCTGGTGCATGCGCCAGAAAACATCATGGTCGTTAATCTTGATGATTATTTAATGCCTCCTGATAACGCCCGGTCAGAGTTGACCGGTTCTCTAAGGCTTTCCTACGACGTTCTAGTCTCCTATCTTACATCTAGTCTTAAAGGTCCTGCTGTTGTTGCTTCTCTTTGGATAGATAATATTCCAAACGAACTCATTCCATACAAGCACAAAAAGCCCAGAGATACTCTTAAAATACGCAAAGCCCGATCTCGTTCCAATCTTAGTAGCAAGCGCTCTACTCGCAAGAAATCACCCGAGCCCTCTATAACCTATAAAGAACTACACTTACTCCGTGAAGACAAATCGTGTATTAACAACCATGATTTATTTCTAAAGCGTTTCCCTCAATTAATACAAGAACATATACCCTCAAACAAACGCCACAGGTGCTCGATTAGTTGAATAAAGATACCGTTTAGCTAATACTAGCCTAGCTCACAACTATTATAACATCAGTGGTTATCGGGCTAATGTGGTGCTCAATATACGACATTATTTACTAGTAAAGATCACGGGCCCTTAAACTATCTCAGTTGCATTGCAATATGCTTCACACGAGAGACACACAAGTCAACATGTCGTTATTCTTCATCTGTAGTTCTAAGAGTGAAGGTATTATTCGAGCTGGGCTAGAGATTGGTAGAGTGCAATTCCAAACTATAGATACAGAATGGATTTGGTTTCAGAAGGTACTAACTTGATGTTATGAGACGGAAGTTTAGGTGTTGTGTATGTCATAGCCAATGTTGATGCTTTAGTCAATAAATCCGAAGAGTGTCCAATCTGATTATGTCTTGTTAGAAATTAGTATTGGTCGAAAAGGGTATCTTACCACACAATAACACGACTTATTTGTCTAGTTGATTTATTGAACTGAAATCAAATCACGTGGATCTTGTGGGAGGCGTCATAACTTAGTCCGTCTGCAAGGCCACTAGCGAGGCCAGCTAAATCGCCATGCGCGATGTACAAATAGACATAACCATCACCCAATGCCATACATTCGAGCCATTTTCGATTGGCCGCAGAGGCCTCGGCACTGTCCTCAACAAAAACAAAGCTAGATAGAGGAATGTCAACTAAGCGATGAAGATTCACACATACATCCTTGTTACGACAGAGTGGACATAGATCATTCGTTTTGTTCTTAATCCCGTCTACACAATCGCTACAGACCTGGTGGCCACACCTGAAATAACAAAATGCAGCAGCGTTAATCATTGAACTAAATGCTGGTGCTGGCTCGGCCGTATTGATCTCTTCTGGTGGTACATAAAGGACCCTATAGCAAACCGGGCACTCAATATCGGACCCGTTCTTTTTAATATCATCTATGATCATTTGGAGAGATTTGTTAAGAGATGTACCACTGGGAGCAAGATTATCCAGCTGTTCGGAACTAATGGCAAGTCGGTGTATTGTTGCGGATGTCACTGCAGTAAACTCGGGTTCAGTGTTGGTAGAACACATTAGGAAACAACCACTATGCGGCCGGGCCCGCACCTCAAGATATTGTATGTTCGGTCGTTTTGTGTTGCCATCCTCAATGCGAATGCTTGTGAGTAAACCTAAACCCCTGACCATGTACTCACGGCCAGCGACCACATTTCGCTCTTCATCTAATATCTTAGTCCTTCTTACCTCTAAGCAAATCACATCCTTAAAACAGTGAGCTGTCCAGCGAATAATAGTCACTAAATCCGACTCGGAAAGTAGCGGTGTCTCTTTCAAAAGCAAGACTACTTTCTTAACAGGCCGTTTCGGAACTGAAGACGACGGAAGATTCCTAGGCTGTGCTGGATTGAGTAGGGGTACGTCTGGGGGTTGGGAGATAGCAAGATCCGCTTTTAAGGCCTCTAATGTTATGTCCGCAAGAACAAGCTCTTTTTGGCTTATCACCAGCTTAGTATTGGGGTTCTTGGCCAGCCATTCCATGTATGCTTCGAATGACATAGGACTGGGCCGAATACCATAACTCAGCAGGTCGTTCAGGACTTCATTGTATAAGCTATAATCAACATTATTCAATGACAAAACCAACTTGTGTAGACCAAGGTCTTGCAGTGACTTTCCAGCTTTGATTGCGTCCTCTACATATCTAAACAACGAGAACGACTTTATTTTGTGCTGTTTCTTATAACGCACGACTTCATCTAGCTTAAAGAAGTCATTGATCACTAATGAGTTGATGTTATGGGTTGTAGGTTGGGAAAGGATTTCGGCAATGGCAAGGTTTTTGAACCGCTGATTCAAAATATGGACATCTACTGATTCAACAAAGACATAACATCCTAAAATCCTGTAAATAATCCGTTCATCAACGTTGTCTAGCACTAAGGTTTGAACCTTGAGTTGGCGCATGGGTCTGCGGGCAGCTTCTTTTCTTAGAGCGGCCAAGTCAAATCGGCTACTTAGCTGACCATTCGAGCGCACATCCATTATGCGAAGCGTTTTGGCCGTAATATTATGAAATAGATCTAGACAGTCTAGACATTTTTGAAAGTACTTTATGCTGGCATAATGGTCTCCTTGAATGTCGATCGTATTATAGCGTATGTTTTGACAGAAGAACAGATCATGTTTTGCTTTATATTCCTCGAGTCTCTGTCCCAAGTAATGGTGGTTAAGTTTAATGCTAACCTTATCTTGGAGAGACCAGTCGGAATAGTTAAGTTGTTGGCCACAGCATACAATATTCTTTGCCTTAACATCATCTAACACCTTAGTCGGTAATGCCTTGATTTGACAAAGTGTATCTATAGTATCATGCAAGTCATCTCGAGCTACTTCATATTTGAACTGAACCTCTTCAACCGTGATTCCACACATGGCATAGGCTTCTTTTGTATAGAGCCGTTCATAATATTCCAGGGATTGGCACGGCCTTCCTTTGCCAATTGAGACAACTGCAATCGTGGCAGCAATACGAGGATTAGATATTGTTTGTGGCGGCAAAGGCACAAGCAATGCTTGAAGACAATATGGAGGCTCGACCGGATTTATAATAGTATGCACTTTGATGTGAGATCGGTTATTCTCGCACAGGTACCGAAGAGTCATCCAGTCTGCTTCCAGAACCAGTCTTGGATGAACATCCGTGGCATTCTCAAGCCCAGTTATCATTATGTCCAGATCACTCGATCGTATAATTTTGATCGCCCTACATATGGAGCGAGTCTGCTGAAGAATACTAAGATCAATCTCAGCCACGGGTGGCAGATTAGTAAAGAAGAGATCGTAGTTAGGCTTTAGAGGCAACTCAGTCAGACACGACGTGTTTTGGTATTGGCTCTTCCGCAGACAAACACTTGAGATTGGCCGCAGTAAGACAATACTGCGGTTTATTAAATTCCGATCCTTACCATATGCCTTACTTGAGAAGCAGAGTTGGCAACGGTATCTATAAACAGCATGCTTAACAGTATGTTGTGCTTCCGTCCAGCAAGCAATAGAATCGAGCTCAACTATATCTGCATCTCCTATCCGGCCAATATTTGAGGTAAGTCGCATTATCAGACAATCAAACATATTAACAACCCGGGTTAGAATTTGTATATTGATCTGATGACATTTACGATTGGGCAACGTACAATTAACAACCACATCAGGTGTCTTAATAAAGGCGATTTCTCTTAACTTTTCCAGAGCTGCAGTCGCCTTTTCTATACTACGATAGTTTGGTAGATCAAAGCACAAACTCTCTTCCCAACAATCCACCACATAAAGAGGAGGTAGTAGTGAACTACCAGTACCAGATATATCCTGAGAATAACTAGAAATGTAAGGCTCAATCTGTAAATTTGACCCCCACCTACTAATGTTAAATCCAAGTGATCGCAAGGTTTTAGTCACTTCAGCCGAACTCGGCAAATCCCGCATATCAATACTATCTGATCCACAAACACCATTCATCAATCCAAACAAAATGCATACTCCAAGACCAAACCCCCATCTAAACACACAAATCCACCAGATATCAATAGGTTTAACGGCAATCATTCGTGATTCAAACATAATCAGAAAAAACCAACACCAACTCAACTAAGATTTATAAGTCAACCGTCAATCTCACTCAATTATAATCCATCACCAAATAATACCAAATAATACCAAAGACTCTAAACCACCTTAATTATCCACCCACCAACCACTCCAACTTAACCTCTTACTAACCCAATTCATATACTAGCACAGTCTACCAACTGAGTACCAACTAAATATCAACTAAGTATCAACTAAATAACCCATGTACTTTATTAACTTATTCACTACTACCAACCCAATAAGTAAAGCATAACTCAACAAACCCAACCCAATCAATACCATTCAACCCCACCACTTCATAACTATCTCCTACCATTTACTATCACAATACTAACACTTACCTCACCCACCACAACCCAATACCAACACCAACACCAATACCAACACCAACCCAATCTAAAGACCATCTTAATACCACCTAAACACCCCAATACTAAACAATTCAATACTAACTGACTTGCAATCAGCCAAAATTTTTATGATGCAACTCGGACTCTCACTAGACGCACTAATTGCCCAACGGACCGCCAAAGAACAATTGCGAAAGCAAAAGAAAAAGGAAATTCAAAAGCGAATTAAAGATAGCGAAAAGTTAGATCGACCCAATACTAACCCAACCCAACCATCTCCCAGCACTACTACAACCGAGTTAAGTACTACTACTACTACATCTGAATCAACTACTACTACTACTACTACAACTCAATCTAAACCTACAGTCAAGAAGAGAAGACTTAACCGAGATGAAAAAACCCTCATTCTAGATAGTGCACTAGCTAGAACTCCAGAAGATATCAGAGAAATCAATGAAAAGGAGCTCAAAGAAGTCCTTAAAGTAGTCGTTAAAGTTCTTAATACACTTCCTTCTGAACCTATTAAGATCATGGCCTTCCCAGAAGATCGTGATCCTCATGCTAATCCTTCTAGTCGACGGGGATCAGATCGTTCTGAAAGTCAAAACAATGATTCTCGATCGGGTCGAAATCGCAAGCCTATCAAACCTATTCGACCGGCCAAGCAAAAGAAGGCATTCCAGAAGAACTTTCTATAGATCGGAATGTTTAGAGCATCCAAAGCCACTAATATAATATCTTATTACTATTAACTAAATCATGCCATTTTATTGGCAACTATTACATTGTATTGAGTTGAGTTGTATTTGAGTTGTATTGAGTTGTATTGAGTTGAGTTATTGAGTTGACTTAGTGATATCTTATTTTGTTTTACGGTATCTTATCTTGTACTATCTTAAAATATAATATAACATCATAAATACCTCATAAATATATCTTATTTGTAGTGCTACTACACAATCACTACTCCTTCTTCACACTAAAGCATTTATTGGGTTGGTATTATGTTAGTATTATGTTAAGATTGTGTTAAGATTGGGTTGGTATGACGTCATATCAAATACTAACTCAAATCCTAACTCAAACTAACTCAGTAGTAACTGGTATTATTAAAATTTGAGTATGACGTCATATCATATCGTTTACATTAAATAAATGGTCGATTATGTTGTATTGAGGTATGTCTTTAATAGAGTATGTATTGGTTAAGTATTGAGTTGGTATTAGATGAGTATATTATTGTATCTTAAATTATAAGCTATCTTTGCTTTTGGTAGCTGAGTTGGTCTAGTAAGTGGACCATTTGTTCGGTATGAATGCTGGGTAAGTTGATGATTTGGGTTATTAGATTGGTGATTTGGGTCTTGATTTGGGTGGGAGTAAGATCTTCTTGTTTCAGTCGCCGAGTAATACCTAGGTATAAATGGTTTAAGATGGACTCTTCTGTGAGTTTGGGCTGGTTTGGTGGTGGATTGGAATTTGGACTGAGTAGTTGGGCTCGGATGTAGCCCAGAAAGAAAACCAGTAAGTCTTGTTGGTCTTGGAAGAGTTGTTTAACAACTGTTTTTGTGCTGGAAATGATCTTATCACGGGCTTCTCTTATTTGAGACTGTTCAATCTGTCGAGTATGAATAGTGCTTTCTCGAGTAATGATTTGCATTTCATCTTCATCGGCACTATTCCATAGAGAATCGCTACTCATACTGAATCTAAGAAATTTCATTTATTGGACTAGTTATTCAATGACGTTGGTTTGAATAGGGTTGAGATAGAACGAGTAGTGTACTCTTTACTCTCTTCTTTTAAGAATCCTTTTGTACCTGGTAAGTTACTATGCGTATTGATATAGATCTTGCCACTGTAGTATTTGTTAAGTATTTTGATACCGGCGGCTTTGGCGAAGTTAGCATAGAGATTCTCGGCGGCACTGTAGCACTTATTGGTTAGGGGCAGAATGAGAATGTCTTGCCCTGGGACATTCCTATAAATCTCTTCTGGGGGTAAGTTCAGTGCATGCTGTCTCACCCGTAAAACTAGTTGTTCATAGTCCAAAAAAGGGAGAAGTACAACGCCTTGCCAAGCAGCTGTTTTCCCAAACCGATCGACCTCAATTTTAGTCGGATAATTCTCTGGTGAGTCTTCAAAGATCTGGTGCATTCCTTTAGGTACACTATCGGCCGAACTAGGCGGTAAAACTGCCATAATCTGTTCCAAAGGCCGTTTAGGTAGGCCTAAGTTAAACCCAAAAGTAATATTCTGATTAGCCCGTAGTGCCTGAGCAATATCAACGGCTAATGGGGCAAAGTGCATGGGGTAGTACCATCCCCAAGAAGGACAGCCATGATGGTAGTACTGCAAGACCCATTCCAAACCCCGGACGTACTCCAAGCAAGCCTGCTGAATCTGAGCCGGTGTTTCTGCCTTAAGTTTACGTTTGTAGTACAAGGCCCGACCCTCCTCTTCAAACAAACGAACTTGCACATCTTCCGGTCGAGGTGTCTCCCCACGTCTTTTGGTCATACTAATATAACGGTTGTACTTGACTTGAAGTAATTGGCTTTCTGAACGTCCTAATATATCCATAAGGTTTATTAGTTCTGCGATGTTGATTCGGGCATTCTCTGTTAGGTACTTATGCCTAGTTAGTAACTCTTTGATGTATACCTCAGTTATAGTTTCAATGGCATTGACTTTGATGTCCATAGAAGGTATACAAGGCAAGAAGTCATTTCCTACAAAGAAGCACATAAACACCCAATCATCCAGCATTCGTTCAAAATCAGCCCCCATTTGCACCGCCCGAGTAAACTCCTTCCCCAAGTACCTCCTTAGTATTTCAATGTCTAAGTAGATATAAGGAGGAAACTCAGGAGGAATACAATTACCAGCACTATGTCCTGAAGCCCGGCAATGATCACACCTACTTCTTTCCTCCTTCTCTATCCAGAACACATCTTCACGTAAGACTTTAAACGACTGCTCATGCGTAGCTAAGCTTAAAAAGATAAGATCAGCATCTAAACCACAAATAGCATGACGAACTCCAGTACCTTTAATAGCTCGGACAAAATTGTATATCTTATGTTCACCTTCTCCCGGTACGTCACACCCACTATAAATCACAGCTAGTTTATGCCAGGCTCCAACTCCACAAGCCATGCGTTCTTCAATGTAACTAATAATAGACTGGTGCAAACGAAACATAAAAGGAGTACCGGGTGTAATTGTATTGGAATCAAACCCTTTCTCACTAACAATACCTGATTCTTCCTGTTTAGCAAGAGCTTCATCACTTGCTTTGAACCTACGTTCTCTTTGTTGGTTCATTTTAGCTCTTGGTGCTACTCCATCAACGGCAATGTATAATAGTTGTAGTGGTTTTACTATATTCACTAGATGATCGATTGTTTTATAGATCTCTCTAAACATGCCATCTTCAGTCGTTGGAGCTTCCTTATTAGTCGGATGACAACACGGATGAATAATCCCATTTAAATCTAGGTACAAGTTATCTACTTCTTCCTGGCCAACATTATAGATACAATCGGGATATTTCTTAGCAACCCATCTAAATAGTGAAGGAACTCCCATGTAAAAGAAAAAAGAGACTCCGTATGTAATAACTCATGATTTGATTGGATTAGTATTAGATTAAGATTTGGTTGTCTTGTATTGGGTTAGGATTAGGTTAGGATTAAGGTGGTTTTAGTGTTGAGTTGAGTTGAGTTGAGTTAATAAATAGAGATGGCTGTAGATAAGAGTATAGATTAAACTGTAAGTATTGAGTTAAGTTAATTGTTGTGCATGAGAATTATCAACCCTATTAATTGTAGGATGCCATAAAAAACCCACGCCAAAAAAGTCCCGGAAAATTTCCTATGCCAAAAGTGAACCTCGCCACTTTTGGGCTCGAAATTGGGGATTCCGAGGCGGGTGGGACAAAAAGTAATAAAGATGCTTTATTTGGGACATTATACATAGAAATACTAAACTCACTCAAGTTCGCACTATTTTGCGGCTATTTTGAAATCATCTACCAAACTAAAGGAAAGATGACGTCATTTGCTCTTATCTTTCTTCCTTTTTGGGTTATTATAAAAAGAAAGTATACTCTTTTATAACCCAATTATAGACTTCTTAGATATGAATAAACCTAGTATAATAGTAGAAAAGACGTCTTTATTTGTTCTGGTCGCTGCTTATGGATATGTCATCCAGGTCAGTGTTTAACAACAATTCCTCCATATCAGCGTTTAACACCGGATCACCATGGCCTGTGTTTAACAATAATCGATCTTGACCTGTGCCTAGCAATAACCGATCTTGACCTATGTTTAACCACAATTCATCTTGACACTACCTCCAGCAACTGATTGCCCCACACTTTCTTCTCAGTGCTATTATAGTATAGCATGTTATTAAGGACCAGAAATCTGCTGGTTTTCTTTTGAAATCGGCGTCATTGTCGAGCACATACATCAGATTGTTTAGTAAGATTGCCTTGTAAATACTGAGTTATAGCCGTAATTTCATCGATAGTTACAGATAGTTTTAACATTTTGAAATAAACTGAGATAAGAAATATATAAATTCTGTTCAGAATTTGACTTTGGTTAGGATTGAATTAGATTTATTATTGCGGTTTTGTTATCGGGACTTTTTTGGCAACATTCTTTTTTGGCGTCCTACATTAATTAGTGGGTAGTATTAAGTTAGTATTTATTGTTTGATATCATCTATTGGGTTAGTATTAGGTTGTGTTGGTAGTTGGTAGTGAATTTACAAGTATAAGATAGATATGGATTATGAGATTGATATTGATATTGATATTGAGATAAGATTAAGAAAAGCGAGATAGAAATTCATCTAGATCTCAAAGAGATAAGCGAGTGTTAGATGTCTGATGGAAGAGGCGAGTCTCTAGTTGAGAAATCTAAATAACGCATCCAAGACGTTGCACCTTCTTGACAATCAACTTAATACCATCTTAACACCACATTAGTACTACACCTACTATTTGAGTAACCCAATACAATACATTTCTTTGTCTTTGATTGAGTTAGTAGTGAGTTAGTATCGATTAATATCAACCCAACCTAACCCAATCCATGGACATATCGGTTAGTGTAGTACTCATGGGATGGATAACATCCATTGGCCAATACTAATACCAAGCCAACTATACTGTTTTAAGATACTGTCATAAATGTTATATAATACAATTCCTCCTTCTTATTTACTTCACAACTATTGCTTATCTATGCCGTATCTACTTTACTTATCTAAATAAACAATAACTTTATAAGAAACTGTATCTTTATCCCACTACTAACCCCATCTGTCTTGACTATTTAACCAACTACTCTTCATAGTTTTGAAAGACTGCTTTCCTATCTCTACTTTTACATCCAACTTAACTTAATCTAACACCAACCTAATCTAACACCAACTTAATCCAACTCAATCTAACACCAACCCAACTTAACTCAACTTAACTCAACTTAACTTAACTCACCATCATAATCATCAAGATATAAACAAAAATCCAACTATACCCTTCTATTTCACAACTCAGCTAGACTTGAATCTCATTTTTATTTTACTATAACCTATCTTAAACCTTATCTTAAACTACGAAACCAAGAACCAGTTATTCGTTTTAAGACTAGCCCAATACTAATCCACTCAGAAACCAATCAGCCTATCTAAAGACCATAAATAGACCATCAAAATTTGAGTATGGTAAAAATAGAGTTTCTCTTCCCAACTCGGGTAAAGCGATCTGAAGTTCGGAATTTCTACGTATCATTAGGCTTAAAAGTCTCAATGCACAAAAAGTACCTCAGATTGCGCAATACACCAGAAACACGTATCGTATCTGTCACGCAATCTCACATCCATCTACGCGCCGAAAACCATCGCGAAATTCTCGAAGCCCATAAAGACCATCTTCTCTACGACTTAGAAACAGCCGAACTTGAAGATGATGTAGAAACTGACCATGCCCATCGTTCCCATCATATTCCTTTCCGGATTAAACTAGCCGATCCACTTAGTAACACTATTTGTATTGCTCCCGCCTTACAACGCAAGACTATTGCCGTACTTACTAGTGGTGGTGATGCACCCGGTATGAATGCAACTATTTGGGCCATTACTCGGGCAGCTAGTAAAACAGGTGCTTCTGTAATGGGTATTCAGAACGGATTTGCCGGTCTACTTGCCAATCGCATGATTCCACTCAGTGAAGAACTTACTTTTCAGCACATGCACTTAGGCGGGACTTTCTTGCAATCGGCTCGTGAGCCTAAATTTACTGAGCCTAGTGGTCCCATCGAAGGGGCTAAAGTCCTGAAAGCCCGTAATATTGATGCTTTGATTGTGATTGGTGGAGATGGGTCGATGCGGGGGGCAAGTGTTTTGGCTAAGACCGATCCTGAGTTAACTGTTGTCTTTGTGCCGGCGACCATTGATAATGACATTCCCGGAACAGAGTCATTAGGAGCAGCTTCAGCTTTGCACCGGATTGTTGAAGCAATTGATTGTATTGAACCTACTATGGCTTCACACCGGCGGGCTTTTGTTCTGGAAGTAATGGGTCGTGATTGTGGCTGGCTGGCTCTAACGGCCGGTTTTGCTACGGAAGCGGCCTACGTCTTTCTACCGGAGTATCCACAACCCGATGGCTGGGAGAAGACTTTAGCCACGGCAGTAGCTAAAGCCGGACATTGTGCCCATGTCATCCTAGCTGAAGGGGCCCGGTACAGATCAGGCAAACGTATTACTGCCGGAGAAGTATTGAAGGCCCTTGAGGATTTAGGACTTGAGGCCCGCCAAGTCGTACTGGGTCATACACAACGGGGAGGAGCACCTTGTGCCGCTGATCGAGTTATAGCTGCTACCTTAGGAGTAGCTGCAGCCGAAGTTGCTTTAGGATCTACTCCCGGGGCGTATGCCTTACAGATCAATAACGGAATTGAAAGAGTTGTTGATTTATTCACGCAAGTAGATAAGTGCCAAGCAGCTGCCCATGCTCTAGGTATGATCGATGGGAATATTGAAAAAGCCCGAGGTCGTGGCTTTGTGGATATTTATAAGGCGATGATGTCAACTGGAGCCATACTTACACCCAATCCTAGTGCCATTGCCGTAAGTACAGTTGGGGCCTTAGGAGCTGGAGCCGCGCATATAATCAAGTCCTTAATCTTCCATGCACAAACTCAAGGCAAAACAGTACATAACATCAGCACTCATCCCTACTTCTTGCGCCGACAACCCCGTCGTACGCAAGAGACCGATTTTGTCTTTCTTAAGGAGTACATTGAAGCCAACCATCCCGATACGTTGATTTTAATAGGAGGTCTTGATGCAGTCGCTGAGGCCAAAAAGTTAGAAGGTCTTTGTCCGCGGATCTATGTTATTCCATGTACGGTAAGTAATAATGTCCCGGGTACAGCTACGACTATTGGAGCAGATACAGCTTTAGATACAATTACGGCCTTATGTGATAATCTTAAAGTTGGAGCTAATCGGAATGTAGGGTATATTGTGGAAGTGTTTGGCGGGGCGTGTGGGTATCTTAGTATAGCAGCTGCTTTAGCCGTCGGAGCAATTGATTGTTACTTCCCAGAGGAAACAGGTGTTCTAAAAAGACTAAGACGTTCAGTCCAGCTGCTTGATAAGCATTTTGAAACCGGATCTGGTGCCCAGCTTATTATTCGCAGTAATGGGTCTATGAAAGGTATTTGCAGTGAAACACTAGCTCGAGTCCTAGAAGCCGATGGCAGTACTAAGTATTCCGTACGCAGTTGTCAATTAGGCCATGTCCAAAAAGGCAACTTACCTACTGCCGGGGATAGACTCAAAGCCGCCCGCCTAGCCCTTTTTGCCGCCCAAACCACCACCCCAGGCCTACTAATTATCGGTCTATCCGGCCAAACTCCATCTGCCCTTCCTATTGCCCAAGCGCAGCTAGAGATCAATCCGGCCAAAAGACGTCTCAAGAAAGCCGACTGGCTAGAAATGGCCCGAACTTATCGCGTTCTAAACTAACCCAACACCAACCATCTATTTATTCCAATTCAACCAATAAACCTTCTTGTCTCATTTCTACATATCTCATTTGTACACATCTCATTTGTACACATCTCATTTGTACATATCTCATTTGTACACATCTCATTTGTACATATCTTTACATATCTCATTTGTATATATCTTTACATAACCCAATCTCTATCTAGCTTATCTTATCTCATTATAACAATCTTATCTCATTATAACAATGCCTAACCCCACTCCACCTCACACAATACTATCACAATACCATCACAATACCATCACAACATAATCCTATTCTACTTTAAATTTAACTTAATTCAAATCATAACTTCATTCAGTCTTATCTTTATTTCTTAAAAAAATCAAAACAATCGTGCATAAAGTCCCTTACGCAAATATACAAGCTAAACCTAACTAATTGGCGGGTTTTTGCTATATTAATTTGCGCAATTTTTTTAGACCATGCCTACTGAAAAGCTATCTAAAAGGAAGCTCAAGAAAGTCAGAGGCAAAAATGAGCCAAAAAAACCAACTACTGAATACTTCATGTTTTTAAAAGATGAACGTAAACACTTAGAGCCTGGGCTATCAGTAAAGGACCAAACCCTTATATTAAGCCGAAGATGGGCTGAACTGGACCAAGATAAGAAACAAAGATACTCAGCCATGTACAAGTCTGAACTAGAGAAGTACAAGCAAGAGATAGCCGAGTACAAGAAGACCGACGAGTACAAGGAAGTAATGGAGCAGAACGAACAGCTCAAACGCAATATGAAGCAAGAGACCAAAGGCAAAGTCACCCGTAAGCCCTCAGGCTACAATCTCTTTGTCAGGGAAGAGAGGGCTAAGATGAGTAAGGGTAAGGAAGATGGCAGTGCAAGTGAGCCCATGAGTTTCAAGGAGATATCTCAGATTATCTCTAAGAAGTGGCACAACTTATCAGAGGAGGAGAAGGAAGTCTTTAAGACGAAAGCTCGAGAGGCCAGTGATGAGAATTGGGAGGCAGCAGAGAACTTTGAGTAGGAGGAGAGATAAGATAAGCAGAAGGGAGATTTAGGGTAGGCGACTTGGGTTAAGGCTGAGTTGCTTACTGGTGGGATTGGGGTGGTTAGGGGTTGTTTAAGCCGTAGTAGTTTAGTTAACAAAAGAAGTGATCCTACGGGGACTCGAACCCCGAATCTTCGGCTCCGTAGACCGACGCCTTAACCATTGGGCTATAGGACCTGCCACTATTCAGAATAAATACTGATTACTATTTGGGTTTAGTTTAAGTTTACGATTTAGTTGGTACTTAGTTAGTACTTAGTTAGTTACTTAGTTGGGTTTAGTATTGGGTTGGTTTGGGTTTAGTTGACTTACTTATTGTATTGCTGGGTGACTTACTTAATAGAATAGTTGGTATAATTGAAGTTATCAAGTCCAAAGTACAACTAAGTCTTATCTAAATACAACTAAATCTTATCTAAACATAACATAACACAACGCAACTCAACCAAATCTTAACTAAATCTTAACTAAACATAACACAACACAATACTAACTCAATTATGTAGATCTAGTTTATTATACCTATCTTGTTTTGCGCTTCTTTTGGACCTTGAGTCGTCGTTCTTGGTGGGCCTTTTCACGGGCTTCACGTAGTTCTTGGACTTTGCGCACGGAATGAGTCTCACCATCGGAACGACGCGGTTTTGGCCCGGGAGTAGGAGTGGGCTCTTCTTCGGCTGAAGGCCGTTTAAGTAAGAAGCCTTTGCATAATCGGTCGCGGTTATCTTTCTTCCATTCCGTAAAGAGTTGGCCAGGGGGTTTGGATAGTTGTCTAGCTCTGTCTTGGTGCTGAGTAGTACGATCGGGCTTATCTTCAGTAGTAATAAAAGTGCTGGACTTGATATTCTCATAGGGAATGAAGGACGGGTCTTTGAACTTATCGGCAGAAGTAGATTGGGCGGCACGGGGTACAACTTTGGGTTTGACTGGATTGGGTCGGGCTTGAAGACGAATAGTCCGGCGATTGGGACCCGGCGTATGGGTGGCTAAAGAAGCCCGGGGTTTATAAGTATGCACGGCCGCAGCCATGGCATCGGTAGAGTGAGTGCCAAAGTAAGGATGAATAGGTAGAGTAGAGGCATTAATGACAGAAACAACCCATTGGGGATCAATAGGCGCCGGAGGATTAGTCTTAGTGAACTTCTGGTAAGAAGTAGCAAAGGAGGGATCTTTAGCTAGTAAAGCCTGGGCTAAAGCTTGACTAGCACTATAAACTGAGGGAGGTACAGTTCCCATTCCTAGATAAGAACAAGTTGTATGTTGTGAATTATGAATGCATGAAGTAGAAGCAAAACACAACCGCGATAATCTAGAAGGATCTCTTGGCTTTTCCGAGTAGATATGATTAAGAAAGGCCAAGTAAGTCGCAATATCGGCCTTACGGATAAAAGAGAAAAGAGTTCCTTGCTCGGCCTTACCTCGATTCATACGTCCGACTCGATGTACAGCTGTACTCCGGTTAGGGGCATAGTCGTACTCAATAATAGCTCCAATTCCTTTAATATCCAGGCCACGACAACCAACATCAGTTGAAATCAAAACTGAAATTTGATTATCTTTAAAAGCGGTCATAACTTGATCACGTGATTCTTCTGCTTCTAAAGAGCTTAAAGTCCCCTGCGCAATCCCAGTTGACTTCAAAGCTTCAGATATAATAGTTGCTCGTTTACAAGTACTAACAAAGACAAGAATCTTTTGACCATCTAGCTTCTTAAGTAAAGATAAGAGTAAAGAAAACTTAAGATCTTCTTGTACTAAGAAGTTATTGATAGTTAATCGGCCTTGTTCTAAATGATCAGAGACACCTCCTAAAATCTCAATCAACTCCATGTTTGGCCGTCCTAAAATAGTTTGGATCTGCGTGTTGCCCTTATGGTGGGTAGCACTGAATAACGCAAATTGTGGCGAGTCTTTAAGATATTCTAAAATACGTTCTAAAGATAAGGAAAGACTCTTATCTTCAAAAATTCGATCCATTTCATCAATAACTACAATATCCGGTCTACTTATCTTATCTAATAATTGTTGATCTGTAATACTTACTTCTCGTTTAGCCCCCTTATCATCTATCTTTAAAAAGATAGGCTTGTTCCTTTCCGCCTGTGATACTTCATTAAGTAAATGCTCTAATCGGCCTGGCGTACAAATTGCCACCTCAAATTGACCAACCACTAAATAGTTAAAGGAATGGGCTAAACTACCAATACCAGTAAAAAGACCAGGATGAACTCCATTCTTACTGAGTTCCTGGAAGACACTAAAGACTTGAGTAGCTAGTTCATAAGTAGGAACAATAATAATAGCTTTAGCCTTTGTATAGATACTTTTGGCCTCGCGTTCAGCCAGTAGTCGCATGAGAATGGGGATGACGTAAGCATAAGTTTTACCACTTCCAGTTCTAGATACGGCAATTAAATCTTCACCAGTAAGTAATTTGGGGATAACTTTGCGTTGAATTGGAGTAGCAATTGGGTAACGAATATTCCCTAAGATTTCTCTAGGAATATTCATGCCTTTGAATGTAACTGATTCTTTCTGTTGAGTTTCAAGATGTATACCAAAGTCCATGGGCAAAAAAATTCCGAATTCGGATAAGTATTTGATGAGATAGCGGGTTAAAAATGGGGTATTAAGGTTTATAGAGGGTATTAAGTAGTTAGAATGACTAGTGAGTTGGTAATATTTTGAATTTAGATAAATATTACCCGATTTGGTAATAAAGAAATTAAAAATGAATGTTCCCTTGCCATACTAGTACAAGCCATTCCGAAGATTAAGACTTTAAAATACTAGTAGAGAACGGCCGCAATCTATCATACCCGTTAATTATCAAAAAGACTTCATTGGGTTAGTATTAAAAAGGCAAGTATAAACATACAATCTTTATTGTAGAGTATACATGCCATGTGATGATTGCAGGAACAGAGTCCTTGACTATTAATAGCTAATATGTAAGGACTAGGGGTGATAAAAAATAAGACATTTGTTGATTTGGATTATGTTGAGTTAGTAGTGAGTTGGGTTTGTAGTGAGTTAAGTAGTGATGAGTTAAGTATTGAGTTGGGTGGGATGTAGTATGCTATGCTATGTTGAGTGGGTTTAGATGGGAGTAGGTTGAGTGAGGAGGTAGGACTAAATTTGGGAGTTGAATAAATAGAGTTGGTTTAGTATATAATTGGTATAGTATATAGTTGGTATAGTATAGAGTTGGTGGGGGCTGCAAAGCAATATTAGTATGTGTCTATGAAATAGCAACCATTTTGGTATGCCAACATAATACTAAACTCACCATAGTGCAATACTAAACTCAACTCAACTCAACTCAACATACTACTAAACTCAACTCAACTCACCATAATGTAATACTAAACTCAACTCAACTCAACATAATGCACTCTAGTAAATGGTACTTTATTATATACTACGCTAATCATCTTCATCACTGGAGAGGACGGACTTGGACTTCTTCTTGATTGGGGCTGGGGTTTGGGGCTTATCCTGGGGAAGAGGTGGTGGAAGAGTGGTGGGTGGATCTTCGGGTGGAGGTGTGGGGGTTGGTTTTTTGCGTTTGGGAGTTGGACCTTCGGTAGTGCTCTTCTTCTTAGCTGGTTTTTTGGAAGGCTTCTTATCTTGCATTTCCATAAGCATGCGCATGATTTCATCTCGTTTTTGCGAAAGAGACTGATCTGAGGCTGTTTGTTGTGAAAGAGTTTCTGGTGGAGTATTAGTGGTCAGAGGCACAGAAGTAGGCGGTGTACTAGGAGTAGGACAGGAACTAGTTACTGAAGGTGCATTATTAAGCTCGGGAGAAGGAAGATCTGGATTGACTTCATTAAGGGTAGTTTGGATATCTTTGATCAAGATAAGATCTTCTGGTTGCTTTAAACAGTGCTCAGTTCTAGCCAGTACTTCTTTAACTCGTAAGGAGTTGCCATGACTGGCAAAGTGGCTTAAGGCAATGAAGATGGCCTTTTTAGCCAGTAAAGTCTGAGCCGGTGTGCTATACTCAGAAAGGAAGTAGTAAATAGCCTGGTGAACAACATCTATATCAATAGGTTGCTGTTCCATGTGCCAGAAAAGTAAGTGGTTATAAATGACCGAAATAGAACTGTTCAGAATCTCACTAGTAGTAAGAAGTGGTTTTTTGTGCTTGATAAGAGAACAGATAGAAATAAGATTAGTAAGACGTTCAGCTAAAGCCGTATTGGGAGCAGCTGGTGGAGTATTAAGTATTTTGATAGCCGTTTCAAGATGACCAACTGCTTCAGTCGGAGTTGCTGTACTAGTTAGTCGTTCAATATACTCTGATTGCGAAGTGCACTTGGTTTGGAGAAGAGTAGTTAGGGCAAGACATTCTGGGAAGTTACTGAGGGGGAGTTCGGGTCTATTTGCCCAGGCAGTAAGTGTATCCAAGTTTTCTTGGGCTGCCTGGGTATCTTCATCTTCAGTAGCAAATTGTAATGCCTTTTGGTAGGCACTCTTGGCCAGATCTAGTCTTTTCTGGGCAAAGTAGATATTACCGAGTCGGGACCAGTATCTGCTCTTGTTTATCTCTGTACGCCAAACCAAAGACGAATCGGTTAGATCTATCATTTTCTTGGTCCAGACTAGGGCGGAAGGGGCAAAAACTAGTGGTTCTGGCTGTTTGCGCTTGATTAGTTCGATTAGATCGGCAAGGCCAAGATCTTTTTGCGATCTTTCTCGAGCTGATAAGGCATTGACTATCCAGGGAGTATCCATCTCGGCAAGGTTTTTGAGATGAAGATGTGTTTGGACTAGAACTAGACCGATTCGTTCATTAATACTGGGATTTTCATTCGAACTCTCTTTCTTCAGGCGCTGGGCTAAGGCTTGGGCTTCACTGTACCTCTTGCGATCTAGGAGTGTTTCGGCACGAAGGAGTTCTACTGATAAGAATAGTTTCTTGGAATTTTGCATCATCTGTAAGTTAGTGGTCCCATTTTGAGTATTGTTTTTGATCAGATCTTCAGCACTAGCTAATCTATCACTGGTTTTGGCAGCTAGGGACTCTTTGATTTCATGAAGAATAGCATCGGGTCCAATACCTGGTCCCTGGCCCAGTAAACGTTCTGCATGGGTTTTAAGATAAACAATTTGGGCTAATTCCCTGGCTTTTGAATTTTCACAACTATCTAGTTCAGCTATCTCTTTTTCTCTTACTTGCAGTAACTGGCACATTTCCTGGTATAGAGTTTGGCCATCGGGTTTATGCAAGGCAGTACTTACTCGGATTTTCAGGAGCAGTGATTCTGGTGTTTTGGGCAGTCGTTCAATTACTGATAGGGCTTGTTCGTACTGCCGGGCTTGTAGAAAAACAATGGCCTTTAAGTATGTCGAGTGCTGGCAACTGCGACTTAACTTGTACCCTTCTTGTAAGACTTCTTCTGCTGGACTTTCCTGGGCCAGAAGTAGAAGAGTCCTGGTCATGGGAAACAAATCGGTCTTGGTTGAGAGGTGTTTAGCTCGTTGTAAGCAAGTACTATCTTGAGTTTTCACAAATTTGATAAGATTAGCAGTTATTTCTTGGTTGTTAAATAAAGATATCTCTTCAACAGTACGGGGACAGATTAGTTCTCTAATTCTAAGATACTCATTTTCTTTATCTTGACCAAAATATTTACCAGCAAGGGCTATCTTTGACTTTTCACTAACTTTTGAATCAATCAAATCACGACAAAGAGTTTCAAACTCCTCTCCAAAAACTAAATCGGCTCGATTAGATAGAATGTGTTTGTTTAGTATGCCTAAGTCCATAAATATTTAATAAATTTGCTATTTTATAGTTTTACAGGCCATCTTGCTTATTATTACCATATATAGTAATTTTTGCCAGAATTGCGTCATATCTCGATTCATAGCTCCGGGTCTGTGACCACCTGTAAGTTCAGATTCAATCCATCTACATCCATAGGAGAACAGTACGAATAAAGAAACTTTGCCAATAAGTAGGCTTAGAGTTGTCCAGCTCATGACAGGTCTGAACCAGGGAGTATCAAAGCCGAGTCCGCAACTCTGGCCTAGTAAGACTAAACCGGCCATAAGAATCATCCGACAGATCATTTCTTCTAAAGACTGTTCAAAGGATAGTTTATCTACGACTCGCCAATAACTTGATCTTATCGCTGGCATGTTTTTGCCCATCTCTTGCTTGGCGCGATTGGGTGAATTTGTTCTTACACTCTCAGCATAAGCTGTAATACTTTTCAAAGGTCTGGCATTAGTAGCCAACATAAAGATAATTGTATCCACTAAGTTATAACTAAAGACTCTTTCTACTGCTCCATAGATAAACCAAATCATAGCTAACACGATTACAGATAGTAAAGAGCCAATGATTGGTCGATTACGATAGAGATAAGATAGTGCGTAAACAGCACCCAGTAAACTACCACCCAAACCGGTCACTACTTGTGCCTTAACATTCATCCCAACTTGTAGATAAGCCATTAAAGTAGCCAGAACCGCAAGCATAAGGGGCGGCCAAAAAGAAATTTCTAATACTACCCCGTCATTCTGATCTGATTGGCTTGGCCACTACTTAAGTTATGCCATTCCATTTTCTAACCCAATTTCAATCTTATCTTATCTTAAGTTATGATATGCAGGGAAATAATCCATAGCACCCCATTTAAATAAATTGGCCACTAACATACATCTATTACATATTCCAAATCCCATTACAACTCAATCCAACACAACACAATCCAAATCTCAACACAACCCAATCCAACACTAACTCAATCCAACACAACTCATTACAACCAGTTCAATTAAAGATCTACTCCATTTGTTTATTTCCAGAATGGCAACACCACCCAAATCAACACCAACTCAACTTAACTCCACCCCACTCCACCCAATACCAACACAACTCAACTCAATACCAACTCAATGTGGTTATCATTAAAATTACCATAAAAGGAAATAAAAACACATACGAATATTGTTATTTATCTACTAGGCTTTGGTTAGTCGCTCAATTCTTTCTTTAGGAATCCCATTCTTAATCAAAATAGCAATAACCTTAAGATCTTCTGAAGTCTGAATAGTAATATCTTCTGTGCCATTGCCGTTCTTAATAATACTTGAGCCACATGCAATGGTTTTAGAGCATTTTTTAGCTATCTCTTTCAAACCAGCACTACCAATCAATAAATGGAGATTACGTACGAGTGTAACCTTCTTATTCCCTGATACTCGTTTAGTAGTAACTACTATCTTGACTTCTTCCTTAATTGGAGCCTCTTTTTTCTGGCCATTACAAACACTTGAATATTCACAATATTCGGTGGGAAACCCACATTTGGGGCAGTAAAGCGTGCTACTCTCGGTCATGAACAAAATTTTGTAGATGGGGAGTGCTAAAATAGCGATGTCCGAGTCAGATAAGAGTCCTTTGCTTTATTTAGACGAGATTCAAGTTGATATCTACCGACTTTTAACATTGTTTTACAGTGGCTTGGGAATTGTCCAAAGAGACTCTCCTGTGGCTAGTAGTGAGCAGGAAGCTAGTCCAGATGAAGTATTAAGATTGGAGAACAACATTCAGGAAATCATTGGGCAGTTTAATGTGACTAAAGAAAGAGTGCTTAGTCGGGTTAGTGCTTTAGAGCAAATGCCAGTTGATGAGGGTAAGATTGAGCGGTTGTTACAGGAGAGTCGGGAATTGGATGAGTTGTTGAAGAAGAAGATTGAAGAGTTTGAGTTGGAGTTGCCTTTGCTTAAGAATCAAGTTGATGGTTTGGTTGATGAAATGTCTGAATTGTAGTATTGTGTTGAGTTGTGTTGGGGTGGGGTGGGGTGAGTTGAGGTGGTGTTGATATGTATTTAGTGGTTGCTAGATAGAGGGATAGTTGGTGATATAAGTAAATGAGGCATTCTATTTTGTGTTGTATTTGGTGTTATTTAGATATGAGTTGGGTTAGTATTGGGCTAGTTGGGTTGGGGTGTAGTTGGTTAGTGGATACGGGAAAGGAAGTCGGCCAGAAGGTTTTCCTTGCCTTTGATGTAGCTAATTTCAAGATGGAAGGCTTGGAGATGGAGTCGCCATTGCTTGATGCGATCGAGTTTGGTGTTGCTACTGACGGTATTGGCGAGATTGTCGGTGAAGACATAGGTTGGAGAGAGGGCGATAATGTCTTTGAAGTACTTGACGGACTGGACAATGGCGAGGAATTCGCGTTCTTGGATGTTGAAGAGCTTTTCTTTGTGGCTGAGGGGTTTGGCAAAGACACCGATGATTTTCTTATCTTGAATAAGGGCGGCACCAATACCGACATTACTGGCATCGGTGTAGAGCTGGAAAGGTCGGTTGGTTTGGAATTTGTTTTGGAGAATATCAATGATGATAGTATGGAGAGCGGATTTAAGGTAGAGATCGTGTTTTTTGCTGATGTAATGTTGGGGGTTATGGTGGAGATCAAGGATCTTTTCATCTAGATCGGCTAGATCTGATCGTTTGTAGAGGTCTGGGATGTAGAACTCTTGAATATGCCGGATAAGATGGATGAGTGGCGTATGGAAACTGAAGGCAGATTGGCGGTAGATAGTAGAAAAGATACTGGCTCGTTTGTGGTTGGGGCTGTGGTTTTGCTGGCTAAGGATGTGTCCAACACACTCGATTTGAGGAATAAGAAGTTTAGTGGCGAGTGGATCTATTTTGAGATGTTTGGCTTTGAGAAACTTAAGTAGTTTAGAGACTTGAACGGCATTTTCTTGCCAGGTATTACTGAAGACAATGAAAGTGTTCATAATATGGACTACTTGGGGGATGGGGTTTTGTTGGAAGAGTTGTTCTGTTTGGTGGTAGAACTCAGTGGCGAAGTTTTTGATTCCAAAAGGGACTTTTTGCCAGTGATAGATTGTTTTGCTATCAAAAGAAAAAGCAGTTAGAGGTGCGGACTTTTTATCAAGATTGATTTGGTAGTGTCCGGGACAGAGACATATTTGGGAAAAGTAAGAGCTGGGCGGAATATTAGCCAGGCGTTGGAGTTGGTCTGGGAGCATGGGCGCCTTATCGTAAATGCCTCGATTGGTCTCCCAATAATCAATGAGTATTTCGTTGTTGATTAAGTAGGCCGTTGAAAATCCTGTTTGACTGGGCGCCTGTTTGATAATACCTTTTTTGATCAACTGGGTTAGGATAGTCTTGGCAGCCGCCAGGGACTTGTCGGTAAAACTAGCTGGTTCGCCAACAATATTGCGGGCATTGTTAATTGTGGTTAGCTCCAAGGCAGTATGGCTGAAAACTGGATTGGGAGTAAATTTATGTATGATATCGGCTTGGTGCTGGGCTTTAATTTGGTTGCGTAACTGAGTTAGTACACGAAGAGCCATTTGATCGTGGTTAATATCTGAATCGCTAGGCTGGTTGTGTACTTGGCAAAGTTGGTCATCTGATTCAAGATGCGGCTCATTTGAAGCATCAACTGTTTGACTGTGGAGCAGATCCTGTTGTATTCTGATGTTGTAGCCTTCATGAAACCACTGCTCACTAAGGATCAGTATCTCTTCACTTGTCTCCACAATGTTACATTCAAGAGGATACTGAGGCAGGGTTTTGATATGGGGCTGGTTGCCGCAAACAATGCGCGACCAAGTCTTCATATCATGGGGTGGAAAGAAGTACCCTTTGGGTTCTATTCCAGCCCTGAGCATTAGATCATTAACAAGACCTCGACTAATGAGGCTCTTCTGAATATTAGCATCAACCGTAGCCCTCACTACTTTTGTGGCGCCTAACACTTGGCCCGTTTCTAATAGTTCTAACTGTATATCTAACTTAGGCCAAACAATGGAAGAAACTATGCTTTCGAATGTAAAGTTCTCTAGAATTCCATCTTCCACAAATTCAAGATTGTGCCCCCATTTATCCAAGTCATAATAATGTAAACACAACTGGCCACACTTATCTAGTTTGTACCACAGGGAGCTTTTCATTGTAGCTAACAACTCCTTTCTAAAAATAAGCAGTCTTAGAGACTCATTGCCCAGGGCAAAGTGCAGTTGTTCTACCTGTTGTTGCAGATCATCAACCAAATCTCCAAAAAACAAGTACTGACCTAAATCTCGTTTGGGCAATCCGTATCTACTTTCAACTTCGTGTTTGATATGATCATTACGAACCACAAAAAACTTAATGATCTCTTTGACACGAACATCAATCAGACTTTCGTGTCCTAAATAATCTCTAATACAAAGAGGGAGCATTTCCCAAAGCATGTCCCATCGAAACCTTTCAGTATGACCGCGGGTTTTCTTTTCCATTTCTTGGACTTTAGTGAGCCATTCTTGGTCAAAAAACCCAAGATTACTAGCTGGAACCAGATTAGTATAGATTGGACTATTACTCATTAATTTATGATACCCAATAGCTACCTCTTTTAAGTATCTTGCTCTTTTAGATCTACCTTGATCGCGAACCAACTGTCTTTTCCTGTACTGGGTTTTGTCTTCGGGTAATCGTTTGTTAACTACTAAATATTCTAACAACATTTGTGTATCCCGATTTTGGACTTGTTTCATATTGTAAATTGGTGCTAAAATTTTCACCAATACTAGCCAATTTCTTATCAATTTGCCTCTTTTAACAAGCAATCAAGGCTTGATTAAGGTCTTAGATCATGAGATGCACATTATATTAACTTTACTCGTTGTAAAACGACTTTACAGGCACGTTATGACCACTTTACAAGCCAAACCCAATCTTAGTTTGAAATTAAGTTAGTCTTGATTAGGTTAGTATTTAGGCTAGTAGTAAGTAAGTGATGGGAATAAGTTTGGGATATGATAAGAACAATCAGATAAACCTGTCAATCATTCAGCAACTACGTACAATCAAAACAACAAGGTAATATTTTTGACCAATTTCAGTATCAAACAGATCTCAAATTGACCTAAAAATACCTAGCTGTACGTAAGCCAGCACAGTAACTATTAGCAGTGATTTAAGCACTAGGTCTTAATCAAGCAAAACAATTCACTTCCCACAACTATCTAGCCCAATACTAACCCAACTCAACCCAACCCAACCCAATACTAACCTAATCCATGAGTGGGAATAGCTCCTGTGACTAATACAAAGCCCCCAGCGACATATCTCGATACGGCATAATCGGCCATTTATTGAATGTAGACGATGATGGATGCGAAAATGACGTCATACTCAAATTTTAATAATCCCTGGGTATCGGTTAAGATTTGATATGATTCGAATTCTCTACTAACCCGATACTAATGCGATCCACCAATGAATAAACAACTTATCGTGAGACAAGGGTAGTGTTTATGTAACGGCACTACACCTAACCCAATACTAAACCCAATACTAAACCCAACATAACACAATGAACATTCTATTGAGTCCAAACTAACCCATCAGCTGTAGCAATGTTACACCACCAGCCACTCCAAACCCATACCAACCCAATACTATCCTTAGTGCCAGCCCAATGATCTTTACGTGTTCCCGAAACTATGATCGAAATACCTTCGACATGCTGTTTCGACATAAATAAACATCATCTCTTCCAAAACACACATGTCTAGATGGCGGCTTACCAAGGCAAAAACCATCATCATAGAGATTCTCCTCTTACTAGCCATTCTCTTCTGCCTCGCCCTCATTGTAGCCCATGTTTTTGATGCCTTCTTTACCCTCACCCCAGATCCACTCCAATCCCCAACCCATAAACACCCAAAAGAAACACCACCCCCAACCCATTCAAAACCAACTCATTCAAAATCAGCCCATCTAATTCCTACTAACAATCTCTCCTACTCAATCAATAGTCTCTATTTTATTCTTACATAGTCCGCAAAGAATCCCATGGACAGAACATTACAACTTATTCAACAACTTCGCAAAGATAGAGTTCCCTTCAATGTTGTTACTATCGAAGACGAAAGACTTATCCGTCATCTTTTCGGTCTTCCAGATCCAGCCATAACTTTCAATCCCAATCACGACCCCAATAAACTCAATCTCGTCATCCATATTTCCAAAGAAGAGGCCAAACAGATTTTGAAACACCGTCCCAACCTCAATACTATCCTGCTTACCAACGAGTACACTACCTTAAGTGAACTAAACATCCTTACCAGACAAAAACAACTCCTCCCAGCCGCCGACGACCACCAAACCATCACTCCCGCCGAACACCAAGCCCTCAACGGCGAAGTAGATCTCCCCGCCCATCTCCTCCGAGAAAACCTCCGCGCCCAATGCAAACTCCCTGCCTCCCGAGCCGCCCGCATCACCGGCAAGTACATCAGCCCCGAACCCCTCGATGAATAACTTATTATATGATATCTCCTATAGTGTTATCTAAGATAGTGTTATCTAATATAGTGTTAGTTTATCAGTATTATCTCCTAAGTGCTATCTCCTATTGTGATATCTCCTATTGTGATATCATCTAACTAAGTACAATCACAACTTAATGCTATCTCATCTAGTGCTATCTCATATAGTGCTATCACAATTTAACTTAACTTATCACAACACAATCTAATCTAATCTAACCAAAATCGAAATCTAATCTTATCATAATCTAAACTTAACTTAAGACAATCTAACCAAAATCTAATCTAATCTTATCATAATCAAAACTCAACATGATCTAATCTAACCACACCATAACATAACCATAACATAACCAAAATCTAAATCTTATCATAATCAATTGAGTTACTTATCTTTATTTAGAATCCTTTGGACTTAAGAAGCTCATTCTTAGCAATCTCCTTCTGTTCAACTAAGAATCTCTCAAAGTCGTTCATTTCCTTCATCCTTTCCTCAGCTAAGTAGTTCTGATAAGCTTTAGACTCCTTTTTAGCCTCTAAAGCTTCAGTAATGTTAGATTCAATAGAAGCAACGAATTTCTCTCCTCTAATCTCTTCAGAATCATCGAATTCAATCACTTTGTCCGTTAAGACTAAGTGTTTAGGGACTATTACTTTACGTTCAGTACATTTACCGGTCTTAACACAGACTAATTGGGCTACAACACTTTCTAAAGTAATAAACTCAATCACAACAGCTAATACTGCACTCATCTTTTTGCACTTAAATTCAGCAACTCGGCCTTTCTCTAGTAAGTTTCGTCTTTCCATTTGCAGGGCTAAAAAATTAGAAAATAAGACTATGATTTACTGTGATATGCTTATTTGAGTTAGTTTAGATTTAGATTGAGTTAGTATTGAGTTAAGTTGAGTTGAGTTGAGTTTAGATTAGATTGCATTTAGATTGTATTTGGTTGAGTTCTGTTATGTTAATACTACGTTTAGATTGTATTTGGTTGTGTTAATACTACGTTTAGATTGGATTGGATTAAATTGTATCAAGTTAGTACTATGTTTAGATTACGTTGAGTTATGCTATGTTGAGTTATGTCTAGATTAGATTAGAATGAGTTAGTATTACGTTGAGTTTATATTGAGTTATGTTGAGTTTAGATTAGATTAGATTGAGTTAGTATTTGGTTATGTCTAGATTGTATCAAGTTCGTACTATGTTGAGTTTAGATTAGATTAGAACGAGTTAGTATTTAGATTGTATTTAGATTGTATCAAGTTAATACTAACCCAGTAAGACTAACAATTAGATTGTATCAAGTTAGTACTAAGTTGATTATGATTAGATTAGAAGAGGTGTTTTGAATTAGAGTGATTACAGGATTAGAGTAGTTACATACTTAAAGTGTTTGTTTGGTGTTTGGCAAAGGTTGGAATTATGGATGTAAATCTTAAATATGTCTTAAAGCTAAATATTTTGGAAGAGTTTCTCTTTAAATTTCCTTTTTGGGTAATTTTTAGGCTAGGAATTACTTAAATGAATAGAAATTAGAATAAAGAAATGAATAGTTTGATCTTGGGATGGGTTTAAGTTGTTATTTTGGTATTATTAAGCTGATACGAATTTCAAAACAATCTTGAAATCAACTGAACTTGAGATTATAAATCCAATATTTTATTTAGTGTGTTTATGTCAATCGAAAGTGAATGTCTTGAACTTATTAGTAGTAAGGGTGCTAAGTTTATGTTGGCGGCTCAAAGATACCGAGTAATGCTATTGGAATCTCAGAAACCAACCAAATCTTCTGACGTAATTCTTTCTTATTTCTTGCTTAGTTTACTGGTGGAGTGTGATAGTCGGCGGTTTTGTTTAGTACGGGCGAGTTTACAGAGTTTGTTAGAACAGCAGGACTTGCCTTGTGTACGTGTGCTAGATGGTTTGTGGCAGGCAGGTCTCTTAGGAGACATTCCACAGATGAAACACTTGGTGAATGCTTTGCCGGCTAGTCACCATGAACTGGGTGAAAGAGCGATTGCTAAGCTGACTAATTCAGAGACTGAGCAGGAGAGTTGTCGGGCGGAAGAGAGAGAGGAAGGGAAGATTCAAGGGGTGATAAGAATGTCCGAACTCTTCTTCCGGGTGTAATAAATATCGGGTTAAGCTCAAACAATACCAACTTAAGACTACTTTGAAACACTCGTTTTACTATGTTGGATTAATAGAGGAGCATCTTGAATCTTATGGACACTCCCGAGTCAGAAAAGAACAAGATGTTCAAAAGAACAAATAGCAACCGATTATTCATACTAGATGAGTTTCTTGGGGTTGAATCGGAAGATTTGTTTCCAAAAGAGTCGCTTAGCTTTTCCGATGATCTGCACCGAGTTCTAGAAACACGGCGTCTACCAGGGTTTAGTCAGGAGGAACGGAGTAGTGCAGCTGATATGTACCAGGCGCGGATGGAGCGGAAAGAACCATCGATGCATGTAGATGCCTGGGGGATGAAAAAGAAACGGCGATCAAGTTCTATGTTTTGGAACTACATGCACGGTGAACGCGAGGTGGGATATCCGAATGATACGTTGCCTTTTCTTAAACGGCCTAGTGAAGCTAACCCGCAAAAGCTCTTTTTGGGAGTGATAAAGAAGCCGGCTGTTCTCTACGAGAAAAACACAACCAACTCGATTCTACCGCTATATCTTAACTCCACGACTAGTTTTGAGGGTCCAACCCAGAAGTCTGAATTTATGAAGATCAGTAAGAGCTTTATTGAGCGAGTGGGTGGCATTGAGTTTGAATCTCTAACTGTACAGCAGCTGAAGGGAATAATGAAAGAGTTCGGTTTGAACTATACGGGGAAGAAGCAAGAGCTTATTGGCCGAATTCGGCAAACTTACCAGAAGATAATGCAGAAGAGAGAGAAGGAGGGAATATCCGGAAAGTTCATGGACCAGGTCGATGATTTGGAAGCCAGACCGTACGAAGAATCAACTAATAATGAGAAAGCCCCAATAGGCTTCATGTTCTTCTAGTTCAATCGTAAATAAATGCATGGTATAGATTAACCTAACCTATGCGTTAGGTTGGGTTGGTATTGGGTTACTAGATTGGTATGGTGTTTGGTTGGTATGGTGTTGGGTTTGGTATAGTTTTAGGTTGGCATTGTGTTAGTAGAATGTTTGGTACTATGAGATACAAACCCAATATGAATGTAAGGCATAAATGAATACGAATACGAGATATAAAGAGATACAAATGAATACGAATATGAGATAGGAATAGATATTAACCCAATACGATTATGAGATATGAAGAGATCCTAGCCCAATACAATTATGAGATAGGAATAGATATTAACCGAATACGATTATGATATATGACGAGATCCTAACCCAATACGAATATGAGATATGAAGAAATCCTAACCGAATATGAATATGAGATACTATCTCTAGTTAGTTTATTTATGGCATTGAATTAAATTGGACTATACTACGAGTCTAACGTTTAGTTAGGACGGGGTGGAGTGGCTGCTGGTATTTTGTTGATGGACTGAAACAGATCGGCAAACACTTTATGCTCTGCCAGGCGTTGCGTACGCCCAAGAATAAGCAAAGACTTCTTAGCCCGAGTAAGGGCTACATTAAGTCTTTGTGGTGAAAGAAGAATCTCATTAGAAGGACCGTTGGGAACAAATAAATCAACAATTAAGATAATATCTTCAGCTTCACTTCCTTGAAACCGATCAATCGTTTCTGCTGATTTACCTAGTGCCCGAATTGTCCGGACCTGATCGTTAAAGTAACAAAGAATCTGGGCACTACTTGGGGCCTCAGCTAAAATAGTCTCTGCCTGCGTATCATCTGTAATATCAATAACCCCAATTGAACCATGCATCTCTTTACTCTTACACTTCATCTGCTGGGCATAGAACAAGTCATTAGCTACATCCATGATACATTTAGGCATCCGGTACTGATAAGTCAGGGAGGCCACCGGTGAACGCTCCCTTAGAATTTCAAAGAGACTAAGCCGCAACCCCGGAGCATTAGCTAGAGGGTGCAGCTGTAAATGATCGCCTACTAAAACCATAGCGTTGGAAACTAAAGCTGGAATCACCGAAAGAAGCATATTTTGCTGAGTAGCTTCATCAGCAATATACACATCAAACCGGCGCGACTTATCAAAAATAACATCTTTAAAAACAGATCGAGTAGTAGCCAGTACAACATTATAAGTATCTAAAGCCGCACCAATTTCTTCAGGCCGATCCACTAACTTTTCTATCTTAGTTACACCCGTACGATACATCTTGATATGCGGCTGATTCTCTAAACGAGCAGCTATATTACACAAAGAAAGCCGCGTATAACAACAAACCAGTACTTTCTTACCCGTAGCCACTAGAATTCTAATCAGCAGAGAAATCACCTTAGTCTTACCCGTCCCTGGCATACCATGAATCAAAGTATATGGTGTTGAACTCAGCGCACTAGCCAGGGCCTTCTGCTGGTCGAAATTAAGCGCAAAGAACTCATTTACATAATCACCATGAATTTCAAACTTACCCGCTTGCGGCACAGCCTTCCAAGCTTTCCTAACCTTACTTGATGTATACAACTGAATAAGTGAACCTCGTAGTTCAGCAAAGTACTTAACGGATGGATCCTTAGAAATGTACAAATGACTTTCAAAAGATAGAGATAAGTCTTCAAACATATGAACTTCCAAACCTTCCTTTCCCGCCGCTGAAATAACACCTTTCCCTACCGCACATTTAGTTTCATCATAAAGCACCACAAAATCATCATTATAAAGATGGCAAGACTTATCGTTAGCCAGAATAGTTAGTTTTAAGTAAGAACCTTCCCAGACACTTACTGCACACTGAAACAGTGTCTCTTTAGCACTATCTTCTTCCGCTTGAATTTGTTCCCAAAGATACCCAAATAAACGCGGATCATCAAAATCCAAACTCTTTAACATCTCCAGGCCATTATGCAGACCAAGCGGCTGTGATAAACTATGATCAAATAAATTACCCAATCCGGAAGAGGCTTCTTCTATTTCCGCAATAGTCGTGCACATCTCTTTAGCATAGCACACCCGACAATGATTAATTACTTGTCGTGGTGGGAGTTGTTTAGTCTGGACGATCTTATTGCGCTGATTAAGCAGACTCCTTACTTCAGGATGTTTTAAAGCTACGGATTGAGTACTGCCACTCTTCATATGGTAGAGAGTTTGGGAAAGATAGCCTAGAGCTTCTTTCTGCAGTAGTCCGTACAGAATTACTTGGGCAATATTATCATTATGTAACTGCGCCCCGGTTTTCAGTTCAATTTCTGTCTCTAGTCCGTTATCAAGAATTGTTGCATCTGATTTACCTTTAATCTGTAACAAACGACTATGTCTGGTTCTATTATTGGTACAGGTTGTGTACCGCAAGGCCGTAATGAACTTCTTTAAGGCTCCTAAGTGTTTGAAGACTTGTTTAAAGGTTTCACCTATCTTCTCATCTATTCGGTAGATCTCAAGTACTCGTCGGCACAGAATAGACTTCAACTCTTTAGCCACCTCTTTTAAAGGAGCTTCCCGTTGGGCCAGTAAGTACTCAAACCATTCGTGTAAAATCAAACCATGAACTTGTTGTTTGTACCACTTTTGGTTGTACACTTCAACTTGACTGGTTAGTAAGGCCTTACGTACACACTCAACCGACTGAATTACATGGGTTGTACTTAATGACTTCTTCCCATGAATGATTAAGTAGTTCTCTTCATTATTAACTACACTTAAATCTCCCTCTTTAGTAGGACAACATAAACATCGCATGATAGTCACTCCATTACCTATCCTTGGTAAACTTTCTAACCAAATCCCACTTATCTCTACTACTTCGTTATCTGTTCCCCAAATTCGCGCCCAATTATCTAATCTCTCAATACTAACTACTTTAAAACTTACTGATAAACCCTGCTTATCTAGGTCTAAACTGATTTCACTAGTAAGAGGACTGCGTGGAGTCGAAACTGTATCCCAAAAATTCAACTCAGCAAGAGATTCATCCATTTCAATTTTGACTCTTTTAACTGAAGAGCGCTTAGGACTTTCCCAACCAAGAGCCATTCTTTAAATTTTTGAATGCAAATTATGCCTACTATGATTCAGAGTATTATATCTTATCTTTATAGTGAAATAGAAGGTGCTGAACCTTCTCCTCTGCTTATCGCCGAAGATTGTGATTTCTTATCAAGAAAGAACCGATTCAAAATACTTACCAAAATAAAAGGTATAGTGATAAGAGCGATTCAGCAAAGTCCAGATTCAATTATTGTCACATGTACGCGTTGGATTAGTCTGAGGAAAAGGCTGGAAAAGACTCTTAGTGCCTTTAGAGTAGGGAAAGGAGGTGATGAACGGGTTTTTGCTAAGATAGTTGGTCAAGGACTGATGGAGTTGGCTAAAGTCCGACAGGAAGAGTTGTTGCAAACCATAGATAAGGTCATTGATACAGAATGGCAGCGATTTAATCTAGAATTGGGTGGTGTAGATAATGTAGATGGTTTGGGTAGTGTAGATGGTGTGGGTATAGGTGTAGGTAGTGTAGGTTTGGGTAGTGTAGATGTGAATAAGAACGAGAGTAAGGGTAAACATGGTGGGGGTGATTTAGGGATGGCATTGTTACTCCTGGAACGGATTGGGATGCTGGCTGTGGGTGAGGAACGAGTACTAGCTAGGTACCAGGCAGGAATGAGGAAAGGATGGTCACGCGATGGTTCAGTGGCCCAACAAGTACAGAGACTTAGGATAGTCCCTGGCTTGTTCCGGTTTCCTTTGGGACTAGTGGGAACCTTGCGGCAGAAAGTACAAGAGGAAGTAGGTGCTCAAGTCTTAGCTGGTGAATACTTGCCGAAGACAAACTTACTGACTATTCTGCAAACTCAAGATGGTCAGAGTTTAGACTGGTTACTATCTCATAAGTTTCCTAAACAACAACAATTAGTGCTACAACAGTACTGGGCAGAAGCTATTAAGTCCTACTTAGGTCTGGATCCGTTTAAGGAAGCAATTACTCTACTAAGTGGTGAGTGGCCGAACCGAACTCGAAGTGGTCTAACCCAATTAGTAGCTGAAGTTCTGGCCGGGATTGTGAAAGAAGATCCAGAGAAGTACACGAATGTTTTGATAGTAAACACACGTACTCTTCTTTTTGAACGAGTTACAACTCGGGCTCAAATCAAAGTACTTAAAGTAATTGCCGCTCAGGTTTCTGATTATGCCTACTTTGAAGAAGCTTTTGTAACTTTGATTACTGATAGTGCTTTACGCGGCTTATCTTTAAAAAGACTAAAACGAGTTGTTCAATTACTTAGTAAGTCTTGGCGGTTTCAATTGAAACGCCGAGTTGATGAAATAATTCGGGATTTCAGTACGGCTACTGAAGTTGAACCACATATTTGGCTTATTCATGCTAATAGTTTCCGATGGCCTAAAAACCTTTCTCGTTTACACCTTCCAGATATTCCCCGTCTTTCCGGACTTAAACAAGCCCTAACTAAAGCCAAACAAGCCGAAAGAATCAAAATAGAATGGATTGATACCCATTCAACTGTTGAGCTTAAAATCAATGATTTATCCACCACTGTAACTCTTCTTCAGTACTACCTCATCACTAAGGTCCAAAACCAACTGCCAGTCGATCTACCTGGCCTAAGCACTCAATGCCCCGACCTCGCCCGCCATCTTAATCCCCTTCTTAAACAAGCCATCTTCATCACCACCACCAATACGCCCTACCTCATTCCCGGCCCCAAGTACGAAGATCCACAAGCCTGGCTCAACCTCTTCCCAGAGTACGTCCTCCCCCAGCACGAAACTAATCCCGGCCCCACCCGCAAACTCACTACTCTTTGCCTGGACAGTCTTATCTCACGCACGGCCAAACACACTCCAGCCCAATCCAGATCCGAATTTATCCAAACTATCTCAACTAGCTCAGGACAATCTCCCACACTCGTAGAACAACGCCTTAACACTCTCATCACCAAAGGCCTTCTGGAAGAAGATAAAGGACTACTCACATACGTCCCATAATAAAGCCAAGTCAGATTCCAATTTGTTTTTATGAACGCCGAGCAGAAGACCCACGCTATAATTGACCTTATGCAAGAACTTAACTGTACTGAGAACCAAGCACGTAATGCCTTGGAACTTGCCCAGTACAATTACGATCTAGCCCGTACAATTGTGAAAGAGTACTTATCAGACAAAAAGACCAACTATGTAGGAGGAAATAGTGGCCAGATAGTGGAAATGCCCAAATCAGAATATGCCGAAGAGTTTGAGAAACTCATGCGTCATAGTCAAAACAATCACAACAATCAAAATAATCAAGAAAATACGGTTGTTGTTAAAAAAACACTAACAGTTTACAAGAATGGATTTTTAATCGATGATAAGTTTACGCGGTTAACTCAGGAGGAAAGAGATGCCTTAATGAAGCAAATCTCAGAGACCGGAGAAGTACCTAGTCATCTGTTTGAAATCAATCCCGGTGATCTCGTTGATGTTGAAATTGCGCTTCAAACTGATGAAACTTACCGAGAAGACTTCCCAGGGGAGGGACGTACCATTCAGCAGACAGTCCCAAAAGGATCGGGCGAGTCTATCGATCTTGGAGGGCCAGAGGTTGTTTTTAAATTAACAGTTGGCGGCAAGAAGGTCCATGTAAAGATGGGAGGATGTTCAGACTTCCATCCACTTAAGCAGCATTTAGAGGGGCAAGGTTTAACTGGCCAACTCTTTTGCAGTGGAGTTTCAGTTGCCTGGGATGAAAACCCTTCTAAGTACAGTCGGGATCTTCTCAATCTGCAGCAATAAATGGGGTTTGAATTAGGAGTTGTGTTAGATTAGGATTGAGATAGTATTTTGATAGTATTTTGGTTTTGATTTTGATTTAGAGATAGTGTAAGTAAAGATAAGGTTAGATTGAGATAGTGTAAGTAAAGATGAGGTTAGATTGAGATTGTATAAGTATGTAGTAGTATAGTAAAGATAAGGTTAGATTGAGATTGTGTAAGTATGTAGTGATGTGATGTGGGTTAGGATTAGGATTGGGTTAGGCTGTAATGGCGCTGGATGGCTTGAATCTTTTCATTGATCATTTTCAGCTGCTCCTGATTGGGTGCTTCTCGACGAATTGTGTGCATTTTGATCTTCTTGACGGCCTCTAAAGTATCCGGCATAAAGAAACCTTGTAACTCCGATGGACGTACGGCTAGAGAGGCCAGGGCTACTTCATTAGGATTGAGTTGCAAATAGTCATCGGCTAACATGATGTTTTTGAGATTCTCAATGGACTTCTCCCAATTAAGCATACGATCAATCTCTTCTATTTGCTGAGTAGGAACAGGTCCATCTAACTCGGCATAGATACGTTCTTTGTTTTTGAGAAGTAAAAACAAACCTAACAATCTAAGATAGGGAGAAGATACATGAAAATTGAACTTAAGAGCATTACAGATGTCTACTTCATATTGAACTAGTAGGGAAACTTTCACAAACCCTAATCTACTTTTTATACATTCAGCAGTTACATAAATATTCTCGACTTTCATGGCAAGAAAGACACAAGCAACAATAAGATTGCGCATATCATAGTGAAAGACTCGTTTCTTAGTAAAAAGCACTTTAAAGTAAGTTATAGATGTACTTTGGACCTGAATTGGTGTTTTTAAGAATTCACATAAGTCAAGCATTTTCACTTGATAGTAAAATAAGATAGTATCTTCCTCTTCTTTGGTTATATCGTTAAGTACAGAGTCCGGCATGGAGAGATGGAAAAAGTTTGTTTAAAACACGACTGTTCTTTGGATGTTTCACCAGTAAACATGTCTTGAATAAAACTGTTGGTTGTAAATGGCGTGTTGCATTGGCCTGCTATTGTACCAAAAGCGGCAAATACTTGTTTAATATCAAGAATATGAATTTTGTGTTTGTTGTTTTGTTGATGCGGGTGTATATTTGGGGGGTTTTATTGGTATATGTAGTGGGTATTGTCTGGGGTGTAGTAAAACCGTTGTTATCTGTGGAGATAACTGTGAATTTTGTGGTTGAAAAGGAGTTGAAACTGAATGATTTTGACTTGGAGCAGGTATTGGATAAAATCAAAAACATTATGCAGGATGTTGGTCCTGAACTCAAGATTAAATTAGGGCGAAGACTAAGAGTGGATCGGAAAGTGCTTAAGAGGAGTACTGGAGTGATTCATGAAATAGAATCGGATGAGAGTACGGGTTTAGGAATACTTGATGGACTGAACCAAGTACGCGTTAGTCAAATGAGTAGTTGGGAGAGTAGATTTGGAGATAGAATTAGGGATGGAGGAGATAGAAGTAAGGATGGAGGAGATATAATTAGGAGTGAGGGAGATAGAATTGGGGATGAGGGAGATAGAAGATTATCAGAAGAAGAACAAGAAGATAAGAAGATAAGAGAGAGAAGAGTTTGTGGTGTGTTGTTTGGAATATTTGAGGATCGCGGTGAAGGTGAGTTTTGTGGTGTATCACGAGGGAGTAATTATGGAAGTAGATCTTGTGGTGGGATGGCTATTTGCTTGGTTAAGCCTGGTGATAGTTGGACTAAAATGGCTGAAATTGCTGCTCATGAATTATGTCATTTATTAGGAAGTGGTCATGATGGGGATGGGAGTGAATGCTCGGCAAATGGATCAATAATGGCTCCTATTTACTGGCCAACTGATAAGAAGAAGAGATTAAGTGATTGTACGATAAAAAGTCTAAAAAAGAAATTAGGCCTTCCCGATTATGAAATTGAAAGAAGCTAAATGGCTTTTAGATAGACTAAGTAATTTCGAAAGACCAAAAATAAGATATGAACAATATATGACTCCGGCTGAGTTAGCGGCAACTTGTGCCCATGTAATGGCTGTAGAGTATGGTGAATTGGCTGGGAAACGAGTATTAGATTTAGGATGTGGAACCGGTATGTTGAGTGCAGCTGTTTTGGCGTATGGGGCTAAAGAAGTGGTTGGAGTGGATATTGATCAGGGATTATGTGAGTTGTATTGTGATAATTTAGCACATGTATCTGATGAACCGGCTGTGTTTGTGCATCGAGATGTTGTGAATGATAGTTTGGTGGATTTAGGAGAGTTTGATGTGGCTGTAGTTAATCCGCCATTTGGGACTAAGAATAACGAAGGGATAGATGTAGTCTTTTTGGAGAAGGCATTAAGTTGTGCTCGGGTGGTTTATTCAATGCACAAAAGTAGTACTCGTGAATACTTTCGGACTAAGTATGCAGGCCGGATTAAGTTCCTCTCACAAATGAAGTTTGAGATACCCAAGAGTTATAGCTTCCATCGGAAAGAGAGTGTGCATGTCTTGGTAGATCTGATAAGAGTTGAAAATAGAGTAAGTTAAAGTTGAGTTGTGTTTGGTTTGGTGTTATGTTGGGTTGATGTTGTGTTGGGTTGAGGTGAGCCAAGTTGATATGAATAAATTATGAATAAGAATAAGTTGTTAGATAGTAAATAATTGGTGCCGGCTGGTTATTGAGTGTTTATTGACTACTGGGGTTTGATTTTGTAGATTTTGAAAAGATCGTTGAGGTCGTTTTCGATGGGATCGTTTAGTTGCTTTTTGTTGTTCTTCCTAATACAATCGACCTCAGTGAACAGCTTAAGAATGCTTTTTACATTGGTGCTTTCTAAATCAAGATATTGGGCTGACTTGTAGAGAATGGCAAAGTCAGTTTCAAGTGCGTCCACTTGTCGGTACGTTTGTAGTTTGGGAAGGTATTGGAGAGCATAGGAGAAAACTGCTTCTACATGGGTGAGCATGTCTTTCTGGGCGACTTTGTTCTGGTAGGCATCAAGGATTTCTGCGACTCGAGTGGAGTAGAGGGTGATTTCGGTCTCGCTGGTTATTTTGGTTGATTTAATGCGGAGCTGGCGAAGAACATCATCCATGGCGGCTTTGAGTTCTTTAGCTGAAGCTTCTAGAATCCTCTTTTCTGTCTCTTCCAGGACTTTGAGCTCAGGCAGTTTTTGGGCGAGTGTGCCGTCGACTTGGGTTGTTCCATCAGTATAGCTACCTATTTCGGCCTTAAGAGTCTGGCGTAGATTATCGGAAAACCCACTGATACTAACGGCGGCATCTGATCGATCGGCAGGCAAACTAGTTCTTAAAAGTCCTATTTGTTCGTTGATACACTTAAGAATGATATCATCTAGTTCGTTTTCGGCCTGTTCAACACCTGTGATAAGGGTTTTAGCACTCTTCAGGAAGTGAAAGATAGCTGATGAAGCAATAGTTAGCTGTTTCTTAATATCAATATTCTCTTTCATAGCAGCAGCAATCTTATCTTTAGTCCGATCAGAATCCGTACTAATACACTTATAAGCAATCTGAACTAAGATTTCCAAGAGGTCTTTAAAGTATATCTCATGAGCCGTTAAGAAAGCAAAGAACTCCTTAAGAACTTTGAGCACTCCACTTTCAGCTACAGATTCGGGTGGGAATCCATCCAGTACAGTTTCAATCTTCTTTTTGATTTGCAAATCGTACTCTTCAATAGCCGGATCAAGTGATTGCGGTACAATTCTTTTGATATCACTATCTAATTCCAAAAAATCAATAAATGTCTTAACATAGACTTTAAGAGTCTCCTCTGGTGTTGTTAGAGGTATTTTGACCTTGCAAGTCTTAATTAGCTCTCTTTTGCGAGCATTGTTTACATAGTGCAAGAATTCATCTTTCTTGTACAGTTCCTCATAGATATACTTGCCCATATGAATCAGCACCTGGTTATGCAGGGCAAAGCTTCGTGCTTCCTGAAACTCCTTGTAGGCAAAACTAGTCTTCTTCTCGGATTCGCTCATTTGGGCACACTCAACCAAACCATCCATCAGCTCACAAATCCACCACTGCGTCATGAGATTAGCTACTGCTAGCAATCTTTCCTTCCCACTTTCAACTGTATTGATGAGTTTACTGTAGAAACTATAACTGGCAAAGTACTTACTCCCTCTCTCGGCCTCCTTTAAAGCTCGCACCCATAAGTACACCCCTCGAATTTCATCATCACTCACTTCTTCTCTTTTGTTCAGTAACTGTTCCATTTTAACTATTGTTTTGACTGATAACTTCTCTAAGTAAGATATGGCGTCTAGAACTACTTTTAGCTTAGAGATAGCATCAGTAAGCACTTCAACTCGTTCTCGAGCGGCTTTTAAGCTCTTCTTTTCCTTCTTTTCTTCAACCCTAGTAGCTGTACTTAGTTCAATCGCATGCATTAAATCTTCTAGTTTCTTATTTAGTAAGTCCATGCCCTGGCCCATACTTCGACCCTTATCTAGATCTTTAAGAATATCTAAGCTCTTAGTTCGCACTAAATTAGCTATCTCTTTCTCAATATCCTTAATAATACACTCATTTTCTGCTTTCTCACGTTGACAGAACTCTTTGTCCATCAGCTTAACGAGGTATTCCGTGGTGATATACGCACTTTCGGGCATTGATTTGCCTAAACTCACTTGTTTATCCTTCTCCATCTAGATTTTTGTGCAAAACAATTAGGGGTAGTATTGACTTGAATTTAGATTGGGTTGAATTTGGAATTAGTTTAGTTGGGTTTGGATAGAGTTTGGTTTGGTTGGGAGAAGTTAGGGTTTAGTTGGGTTTAGGTTGGGTTGGGCTCGCTTATTGATACTTGGATGAGACGGTGTTAGTATAAGATTAGATATAAATTGTTACGTTACATTAATACTGTATTTATATTTAGATTGAGTTGGCTTTGGTATTAAGATAGTATTTAGTTAGTATTGAGTTGGGATAGGATTGAGATAGTATTGAGTTAGGATAGTATTGGGATAGTAGTAGGTAGTAACTAGTGAGTTAGTTAGGTGGCATTGAAGACTAGTTGGATGGTATAGATGGATAGTTCGGGATCAAAAAATTCAAAACTTTCGGAATCTTGGATGGAATGCCCAGTAAAAACTAGATGTAGTTGCTTGTGCGGAGCCACATTGATCTGGAGCCTTATTTCCTTGGATATTTCTTCAACTTGGTACTGAGGATGCCACATGACGTCATCAATTCGACACTGGAAAAATATGCCTTTGTGATTGGAGAGACGGTTAGCATACCAGTAAAAGTCATCAGCAAGAAGTAAAGAGTTGGTTTGACTATTTGATCGATTAGAAGACTCAAGAGGTCGCTTTTTAGATCTAGTTTGAAACGGTTTACGTCTTATAAGACCCATAAGCCGTAAAATTTTAGCGATGATTGCCCTTCTAGTCCGACTCTACCACTTCTGGTTGTTTTTGATCCTAGATATTATTGATACTCTCTTGGAAAGTCAAAGTTTAAACGAAGTTTATGAATATTGTTGTTGGTTTAATAGTTGTATAATGAATACTTGGCTGTTTAAATGTGCTTTATTACGTAGTTTTTGGTTAGGAATAGCTCGACCATTCACCTGGGCACTGGTTTGGCTAACTAAACGACTAGCTAAACCCGGATTGAACATTGGCTTGGTTTTAGATGGAAACAGACGGTTTGCCCGATTTAACAACCTCCCATCAGCCACTGGTCATTATCTAGGCAGCCAGCAAGTCTATCCCGTGGTCCAGCACTTGCAAGAGCTTAAGTGCAGCTCTGTGGCTCTTTATGTCTGGTCCAAGAAGAACTTCAATCGCACACCAGCCGAAGTTACAGCTGTCATGGACATCTGCCATGCCATGTTCCAAAAACTCACTGCCAAACAGAACGATCCACTTGAAAGTTTAGCCCCGCATTTGCAAATAGTAGGTGATCCTCGTCCTCTTCGTACAGACATTAAAGATATTGTCCAGAAGATCAACCAGCCATCCGCCCAGCCAAAGTTCCTTTTCTTCCTCTTCTCCTACTCAGCCTTGGAAGAGTACGTGAACACTAAGTCTGATGGCGTACCGCGCTCTATTGATATTATTATTCGCACAAGTGGTGAACGCCGACTTAGTGATTTCCTCTTATGTTCGGCCGCCTCAACAGCCACTATCTGTTTTGTGGCAACTAAATGGCCGGTTTTTAGCAAAGTTCATCTCCTACTTATCTTACTTAAGCACCGACTAGAAGCCCACCTTCAAACTTCATCCCAGGCCCACCCGACCTATCCACTAACTGTTTCAGTTCGAAACAAATGAATAAATAGGCACCCATGAGCTGCTAAGCAATGCACAGACTTCTTTTAGGCTTCTGTATTCTTGTTCTCATCCAGGGCCGACTAGTTCTACTTGACGATCTTTCCAGTACAGTTCACCACGGCAATATTGTAGTTGATAGTACCAAAACAGATCTACCTCAGGTTGCACATAAGATCAGAGTTCTTCATCCCCACCATAACATTCTAACCCAAGACTCTCCCCCTCTCTACTACACACCCAATCCGTACATTAACACGCAGTACATTGAAAGTCCAACCGCCAATACTAACTTACTTGATACCCGAGTCCAAAACCTCTACACCGACCTCCAACGCGTCAAACACGACGCCCCAGAAGAAGACCTCACCTTACTCTCCCTCCAAAGCAAGCACAGAGCCCAAAAGCAATCCCTCCACCACTTCCTACAAGAAAGACACAAAACCAACAGCATTCTCGCCCAAACCAAAAAAGACCTAGCCACCGTCCAAACCAATGCCGAGCTTCTCAAATCCAAGCTCCAAGACCTCCATGATAAAAGTACATCCCTCTCCGCCAAAATCTCCCATCTCCAGCACCAAATCAGCACCACCCAACAAGAACTCAACCAAAGAACCTCCGCCTACCAAAACCGCCTCACCAAAATAACCACCCGCTATGCCCTTCTCCGCCATGAGTATCCCGAAGAATCCGACAGTCACCAGTACAGCGACACCTCCACTATTTCCTAACCCCAACCAACTCACCCACCCACCAAGCCCTGTAATTGTTAATCGACCATGAATTATCTATTAGGTTAGCAGCGGGTTAACTTAACCTTAACTTAAGTTAGGTATAATGTTTAAGCCACGCATTAATCAAGTCAAATCAAGTCAAGTGCCAAAGCAAAGACTAAGTTTATGTTTACTTTAGCATTATTATGTTGACGTCACACCATTACAAATTCACTACAAACTCAACTTAATACCAGCATCACCTTAACACCAACTTAATCCTAACTCAACCTAACTCAACCTAACCCAATACCAACTTAATATCAACCTAACTTAAACTTAATTTCAAAAACAAAAACAATCAAACTCAACCCAAATACTAACCCATCTAATTCAACCCAGTAATAATAAACCACTTTATTTACTCTATTAACTACCCCTAACCCAATCTTAACCCAATCCTAACACCTACCCCTTCCCACCTAACTCTAAATCCACCTAAACCCCCCTAAACCTCCTTTCTAAACCAATGCTAATTCTAATTTCAAATTCGAAATTCGAATTCAAAACCAAGCGATGAAGAGATGAAATACAATTTTAATTTTGCATGGTATGGGCGTGCCCGAGAGTGATAGCACTAGTGACTTAGTGCAGTACCAAATAGAACTTCATCGTAAGCTTAAGATGGCCAAAATGATAAGAGCCGAGAAAAAGATCAAAGGACTCTATCAATCAGCCCAAAGAACACTTTATGCCCTGGGTTTAGATCTAAATAGATTGCCGCCTCCATCTATGGACCCATACATCGAGAGAAGCCATAAGGAAGAGATTTTGCAAGAAATCAAAAACATTGATCAAAGTGAGCACCAGGTCTCAGTTGAAGAAGAGACAAAACGAGTCTACGAAGAGATTTGTAAAAAGTCTATTCCTAAAGTCCATAAGGCCCTAATTAGTCTTATCTTAACCAGACAAGCCCAACACCGTAAGATAAGTACAGTCTGTCAACGTGAGTTAAAGAGAGCTCTAGCTAAGACTTCTAAGACCAACCCAGTTCTTAAAGGTAAACGGATAACCAAAGAGTTACAACAGTTCTTCAAACGATGTGAAAGAACAATCCGAGAAAAGAGACGTAAAGAAGAGAAAGAAGACTATGAACGGCGTAAGAAAGAAGAAGAAGAGGAAGAAGAAGCAAGACAAGCCAAAAAACTAGACTTCCTCATTACGCAAACAGAACTCTTCTCCCATTTCATTCTAGGCAAACGACCGGCCGGCGATGCCCCACCAACCGATCTATCTACTGATCCGGCAACAGACGAACAGACTAGACTTACACTCGAAGCCGCCGAGAAGCACAAACGAGCAGTTGCCGAGTTCGGTACTACGCCTATCCCCAAAGGCACCAAGCCAGGAGTTGCTATAGATAGTGGTGGTGGTATAGATGGTGGTAGTGGTAGTGCTGGTAGTAGAGAAGGAGAAGGAGTGAATGAGGGTGGCAGTGGAGGAGGAGAAGCCCCTGTGTATAACAACTCAATCCTGCCTATTTCCCAGGGGGTGGCTATTCCTAGTATTTTGAGATGTACGTTGAAAGACTACCAGAAAAGAGGTCTGGAATGGCTGATTAGTCTGTATGACCAAGGGATTAATGGTATGTTGGCTGATGAAATGGGTTTAGGCAAAACTGTTCAAGCTATTTCCTTCTTGGCTTACTTAGCTGAGAAAGGAGGTAATTGGGGTCCTTTTCTGGTGGTAACTCCGGCCTCTACTTTGCATAACTGGGAACAGGAGTTCACTAAGTTTGTGCCTACTTTTAAGGTAGTCTCTTACTGGGGAACAGTAGCCGATCGGAAGGCCCAGCGGAAGTCTTGGCAGCAAAGGAAGTTGCATAAGGAAGAGTCGCCTTTTCATGTAGTGATTACTTCTTACCAACTAGCTGTGACAGATGAGAAGTACTTTAGTAAGATAAAGTGGCAGTATATGGTTTTAGATGAAGCTCAGGCTATTAAGAGTAGTAGTAGTGCCCGTTGGAAGACACTTTTATCCTTTAAAGCTCGAAGTAGGTTGCTTTTGACCGGAACGCCTATTCAGAATACGTTACATGAACTTTGGGCTTTATTGCACTTCATTATGCCGACTCTGTTTGATTCTCATGGCGAGTTCTCAGAATGGTTTAAGATTGAAGATGGAGATAGTGTAACTGAAGCAGCTAGATTAAGAATGGTCTTACAACCGTTTATGTTAAGACGGGAGAAGAAAGATGTAGCTGATGAGTTAGGACAGAAGATAGAAAAGACTATTATCTGTGAACTATCTCCCAAACAAAAACGGTTGTATGAAGGTATTCAAATGCGAGCTCCCATGGCTTCCTTTTTAGATAATGCCTTGCCTGATGATTTAGAGGGAATGGAAGGATTAATGAACTTAGTTATGCAGTTTAGGAAAGTATGTAACCATCCGGACTTATTTGAGAAGAAAGAAACCTCAACGGGTTGGTGCCAGCCGCCTAATCAGATATACATTCCTCAAGTCTTAGCTCCTTTAGCCTTTTATCCAGTAGCTAGAGTTCCAGGCCAGTTCTTACTGGAGACGCACCCGGCTTATGACCGGAAGCGATTTTGGTGTTCAACGCCGGATGTGAAACGAATGAAGTTAGAACCGAGTTTAAGTGAGGATTTAGTGGGCGCACTGGAAACAGCTTGTATGCCGCGTTGTATTCCTCCGAAGCAGGTAGCTATTTCTCCGGCCTATGTACCGACAGCCGCGGACTTACCGGTGGACTTACGGGCCGAATTACCTACGCCACCCGTATATGTACCATCTATGGGCCGGTTTGTGAGTGATAGTGGCAAGTTATGTGTTCTGGATACTTTACTGCCTAAGCTGAAGGAAGAAGGGCATCGGGTGCTGATGTACTTCCAGATGACTAAGATGATTGATTTATTTGAAGAGTACTTAATGGTACGTAACTATTCGTACTTGCGTTTGGATGGCAGTAGTAAGATTGCTAATCGGAAAGAGTTAGTGAAAGACTGGCAATCAAATGCCGATCGGTTTATTTTCTTGCTTAGTACTCGTGCGGGAGGTTTAGGGATTAATTTGACGGCGGCTGATACGGTTATTTTCTATGATAGTGACTGGAATCCAACTGCCGATCAGCAGGCCATGGATAGAGCGCATCGGCTTGGCCAAACGAAGCAGGTTACTGTATATAGACTGATAACTGCTGGCACCATTGAGGAGCGTATAATGGAGCGAGCCGGGGTCAAGGGCGAAATTCAGCGCATGGTCATTAAGACCCGGGACTAAGATCTATCTGCAAGCAATAAAAAGACTGAGTTAGTATTTTGTAGAGTTAGTACTTGATTGAGTTGAGATTAGATTGAGTTGAGTTAGGTTTATGGTGGGTTGAGTTAAGTTAGTACTTGGTTAAGTTTATGTTGAGTTAGGTTAATACTAACCCAAGTTTAAATTGATATTAGATTGAGTTAGTATTTGGACAAGTTTAGATTGAGTTGAGTTGAGTTTAAATCGATATTGGATTGAGTTAGTATTTGAACAAGTTTAGATTGAGTTGAGTTGAGTTGAGTTTAGATTGAGTTGAGTTGAGATATGATTTAATGTATTCATATCTATTTATATGTCTATTTATATCTATTTATATATCTATTTATATCTTTGTTTATGTGAATGTATGTGGTTGTTTTAGATGGGATTAGATTGTGATAAGATTTGAGCGGGATATAAATTAACAGGGAGAAGAAACTGGCTTTGGTGCTCCTATGTGCTCCTGGTCTTTTTTCTCCTTTAAATGGAATTTGGCCTATCATATTGGCAGTTGACCGTTTTTTTCCTTATATGGTAATTCGGCAAAGTTTTAAGCTATTATCCTATCACGAAAAATCTATGACTCTCACTCCAGAACAAGCGGCTAAGATAGCCGAAGAACAAAAGATGATTCATAATATACTGTACAATAAGGATATGCTGGATAATAGCCATACGTTTAACACTATTGCCAACGAAATCTACAAGAGAATGGGAACTAACACAAACTCAACCCAGTATGTTGAAAGACTAAAGGTCTTGCAGACTGAAGGTATGCCTAGACTGTTTAAGGACTTCTTAACCTTTATTCCCGAAGTGGTTAGAAATCTTATTCATGTTGGTTCGTGTGAACTTGTTTACATTGTAGGCTTTGCTATCTTTCTATTTTTCTATGACGCATTTTATCACCATATTCGGAAACTAGTTAGTTATCGTCGTATACTAGTTGATATGGGTATCTTTATTCCTTATATTTTAGCACACATTCTTTGGCGTTGGTCTGGGACTACTAATGGTATGGTACAAGTTCAGTTTCTCTTTATTGCTAGTTTAGTTGTGATTGTGCCACGAGTAGCTATGATGTCCGTTAAGTACGTCATTCCGGCAATAATTACACAAGTACAACTTATCACGGGTACAAGACGTAAAGAAGATGGAGATTTCAAGTATACGAGTCTTTTCATGAAAGGTGGAGAGATGTACCATATGGTTGGTATACTAGCAGCTGTAACACTAGGAATTGTTTTGGCTTTTGGAGTTTATGGGGCTTCTGGCACCTACCGAGTTGGAATTGAAGGTGATCAATTAGGTGGTATTTTAAAGGCTGATTATACTACGCGATTTCGTGCGCAGTGTTGTATGGCTATTCTCTTTCTTGGGGTTTCGCGTGCTATCTATCTTTATGCCGAGCGAGTTATGGCCGTATCACGGTTCACGTCTTCTAATAAGTTCACATCCTTGAAGAACATGGCAGATGCCAAAGGCAAACTGATTAGCACTAATACTTACATCTTTGGAATTCTTGGATGTATTTCGTTTATGTTTATCTACTACAGTTGGACTTTGCCCTTCAGTAATACCCGATTGGCAGTTGACTTGGCTATTATTGGCTATGCAATTAATGCTACTGTTTCAGATTGGACAAGCTTTGTTTCTATCTTCTGGAAGGTCTTTGGTCCTGGTTGAAGTGTCTAATCCAATCAGTACTTTAATATTATAGATCACATTAAGTATAACACAATTAAACTAGTATAAAAGGCCCATTGATGAACCAGTTGAGTTGTTTCTTGGTAAGGTCAGTCATAAACTATCGTATTTATTCAAAACGCTCTCTATTTAAGCTTTGGAAATGGATCGGTTGAGATTTCAATATATGAAATGTAAACAAATATTGGTAATGTAAACAAATAGCTGTCATACGTCATTTTGATACTCCGTAAGTACTTCATATGGAAGTGTATGGTCTATGGACATACAACAAGTTGGCTAATTGTCTTCAATAAAGACTATCTCATTGTTATAATAGTATCCTATAAGTTAAGTTTAGATTGGGTTGTGTATTAAGTTGTGTTTATTGTTGTATTGAGTTGATTTTTGGCCTACCTACCTATACTAGCCCAATACCAACTTAACTTAACCTAATTGTAGTGCTGCCATACGACCACTACTCAATACTACCACAATCCTAATACAATCCTAATACGATCAACCTGATCACTGCCTAGTACACACTACTTGGTAGACTAAACGAATACTAACTTATTATGACGTCATCTTATTCCAATACACCCTATTTATCCAATAAATGGTACCCACACTTATCCCAAGCACTATCTTCAATAGAGTATGTATTAGTTAAGAATTAAGTTAGGATTGAGTACTACATCTAACTTGACTTATCTTAATGTGTTATTTGGGTTAGTATTGGGTTGTTATTGAGTTGTCCTAGCTAGATAATATCATTAAATAGTTGTTGATTTATTGCCATATTATGAGTCCATACTC